AAATGGTATTTGATAGTCTCTGACAATAAAATGATATTTGGCAAAGGTTTCAATATTAATCTCGTGAATTCCAGTAAACAATAGAACAAACACTTGTAACATAATTTTTAATCGTTTCATTTTATCATAATAAATACTATAAAATGAAATGATGAATTGATAAATGTTAGACCACCATTAGAAACCTAGAAGCACCGGACGGCTGCTTCTTCCAAGGATGAGACTCATCAGAAGTGCATATTCACCACCACCGCACATGTGAATCAAACCCAGAACGTTTGGTCTTACGCGAGAATGCTGAACCTCTATATCACGGGGTTAAAGTCTAACTGTAATCAGCCATGGTTTATGTCGACCTCGTCAATTGTTTTCGGTGGGTAACTGCCAGACAGTTGTACTCCACTGGTCATGGCTTCGATTCATAATTTCAATGAAACTCGACAAACTCTACAACCGTATAAGGAAAATTATAAAATGAATCGTAATAAATTCTAATGATCCTTCGATCACAAACATAAAGGTAAATTGTTTTATAGTTACATTGAGGCAAATATACAGAATTCATTTGAAGGGTATCTTTTCCAATAAAGATACGAATAATTATATTCTGTATTGTCTTTGATTAGTTTTTATCGATTCGAATAATTTCGAATAAATTAAGAACTACTTTTTTTCATCAAGAAGTGTTAATATTTGGAGAATAAATGAAAAATCATGGAGTATTGAATAAATAGCAATCGTTAAATTATTAAAAATATCAATAATTCATTGAAATAAGTAATTGTCCTATCACGCTATGTAATATTGTTATGAATTTCACTTTAACAAGTATCTCACTACAAACTGTTTAAAAAAACACATATTGAAAAATATTTTAGCGGTTCACGATTTGACTTCAGAGTGAAGCGAGTTGAAGAAGGCGAGTGAGCCAACTCTCCGTATGCTGAAGAATGACTAAGTGTTTATAGTCAGGCAATAATAAGTTGTACATGTGATAAGCGAGTAAGCATCCACACACAATCAAATATACAGTAGTCAATACTGTGATCGAATTATTACAAGTATAAAAAATGGTCGATACTATTATCGAATAATTTAAACGAATCATCATTGAAGTATGAAGAATAAATGGTGAGATGCTACAGTATTACGACAGTGTTTATCCAACATTCATCCTAAGCTATGAAGGTTTCCAACCACATCCATTCAGTATATTAAAAAAAAATGTATCCTAATGTATTGAAGTCTGATTTCGCAAAAGAATAAACACTTATCATAGTGACGTTTTTTCTTTCATTCTATCAAATAGTAAGCAACAGGAAACAGTGTGAACTTAAGCTATAATTCATGAATTGATTTCGAGATCTAAGAACATCAATCCAAAAACAGCGTGATAAATCGAGATAAGAAAGTGATTTTACATTTTCTTTAACTGACGTCTTTGGCAAATTGCAGAGATTTTCATTTCTAAATATAAGTTAAACACGAATGCGAATATCACCATTTTCAACTGACATAGTTATTAATGTTATCTTATGCATGTTTTATGACTGATTTGAGCAAATGTATCAGTGTAAATTTATATACAGTAATCAAAATGCTCAGTCTTACAGTATATATATATATATATATATTTATATATATATATATATATATATATATATATATATATATATATATAGGACTGCCCAATTTGATAATAAACTCACAATTTGAATTTACACAACAAACATCAAATAATTTACAATAAATACTCAAGTTAAGAGTTGATATAATTTAATTAAAAAATTTTCCTTTTTTAAAGAAAGGACTTGATGAAATGTAAATTGTTGTTAGAGTAGTTCAATTAACGTGATATTTTTAATAAAAAAGAAACCTTGATAATAGTAAATAACTTTCCCGTTCAAAGTCTCATTGTTTCAATAACTGGAAAAAGAAACCAAAATAAATATAGGTCAAGGTTGTATCATGTTTAAATATAACTTATTGTTATGATGTTGGCTCACATGTTTTTCCTTAATGGATATCATGTGAAAGCTACTAATTGAAATGAAGATGTATACTTCTTTAATGTTTGCATACTAAGTCGTCCACAGACTAACGACGTTACCTGCTCATTGATATGCCTTAGGTGAGCACTGCAGAGATAATTTGGGCCTCTATTGGCCAGAGACATATTGTCTTCTGTTAGTCACTTCTCAGTTTGATGAGCAAGAAGCCCTTATAGACGTCTGTGCTTCATACACTAATGGGTTTATGCGTACATAAATTGTTAGACCATAAGAAAACTCTAATCATTGATCACATTTTACTCAAAGTCAAACTATGAGTGATAGAAAACGAGAAAAATGTGTATACTTAACTTGCACTGATTAAAGAATATTAGGGCATATAAAAATAGTCAATAAATCCCATGGAAGCTCACAACACAATGAATATATAGGATTGAAACAATTAGATGATCAAGCAATCATATAATAAAAATGTAGATAATAATTTTCCATGTGATACTTCCCGAAGTTTTGAGTTCTTCAGCACTGGGTGTATGTCAAGAGAAACAAGGATACTTTTCACATTTTAAAATTTTAACTGTAAATTTCTGAAGACCATCAAGGCAAAACAGTTCATACGAAAACTTAGCACTTCGAATAACTAGTTAACCGTTCAGTGAGTTATTCGTTTCACACTGAACAACAATAAAAAGATGTAAAATTGATCACTTTCGAAACACGGTGCAAGTCTTTCAAAAAGTGAATGATACTCAATCTACTTAGGTTTTCTTGAACGCGAAAAGAAAGTTTAATTCAGAACATTAACTGTCTAATAGATGTATACAGCATTTGATTTCTTTATCAGTTCTACAGCTAAATTAAGTCCATGAGAAAATCGAACAATCTGAAATGAAACTCAAGTCAGATTTGAGCATCATCAATAAGTCCCAAACTTAGAGTAGAGGAAACACACATTCATTGCTCTCATGTTTTGAATGATTCTTCATGTCATACTAGTCATTAGTGAAAAACTGAATTTCATAGTGCACAATTACCACTTAAAACTCTTTTGAATAAAATAAATTACCTTTAGGAGTATCTATCATAAAACTACTAATCACATTTAACAGTGAAAATAAATCTAAAATTCCTATGGGGTAAAACAATTTAAAATAGATTAATTTGAATTCTAGTTCTGAATGAGGGTTTATTTCTATCTAGTGATTGTTACACTTAAAACACTTGGAATAATGATGTGAAAAAACTAATCATGTATATATATATATATATATATATATATATATATATATATATATAATATAATTAGTCATATCATGCAAACCTTAACAATTTCACAGAGTCATTCAGAACAATGGTAATGACAATTACTTTAAACCAAATATATTTCGAATAAATTTATGAAAATGAATATTTTGATGTTATGAATTTTATTGAAAAATAGTATGCATTGATTAATATGAATAAAATTAACATACTATGAAATTACTACAATATTTGTAAGTCTGTTTGAGTTAGTTACTACTTACCTTAGTTGAGTTCACAATAGTAAGTAGATTTGTGCATTATATCTGTGTAATCTGAAGTCACCACTCTGAAAATGAGGTTTCCCAACAGTTAAGAGATATTAACTATAAAAGAATAGAAAATGAGCAAAGAAATTTCAGAAGTTTATGCTGTATCTTCAATCAAAGTTTATTCGGTGTAATCTCTAAAGGACAGGGAATTTCACTCGACAATAATGCCTGAAATAAATAATCCGGTTAATTATCTACGAAGAATTAATATTGAAGTGAACATGAGATATCTCGAATTTTATACTTTGTCTGTTATTAATCTTACTAACGAAACTCAGTTTACTGCAATTTAATTCTAACCAACCAAAGGAAAATATCATTATTTTATTTCTATATGTAAAAGAAAATACTTCTCGACCCGTAAATGTTGAATTGCATTGTCAACCAGTAACAAATTCTTAAGTAATTTGGCACCACGATTCGGTATAAACAAGCGAATCAGTAAAGATCAGATAACACTGAAGTTAATCCTTGATCAACAACATTTTAGCCACTGCCCCACATGAAGTCGACGAGACGACATCATAGTCCCACAATGGTCAAGATGCAACTAACTTAATCATTCAGAATCTACCTGATAGAATTTTGGGCTGCAGCTAGTTTGTGATATATTTCAACACGTGGTACTGTAAACACCTTGCTGTCGATTCGGTTACATTTATAACTATAATCTCTCGTTGCTGTTCCAGCGATTTTGATATAAGTCCATAAACTTAGGTATATATATATATATATAAATTCTTCGTTAACAAAGTAGAGGCTCATTCAAAAGCAACTAGTGTTCATGTGTTTAGTAGCCGGTCCTTTCAGGGTTCTTGCACATTAAACATTATTGGTAAAATGTTTAATGTTTATCATCACCTTTCGACTTATATCTCAAATTTAGTACTGTCTTCGTTTTCCGTTCAGCGTACAATAAAAAACAAGGATACATCTTTCGGTCGTTACATCATGTCCAGCATTATATCTACAGCCCTGTCCTATTGATGGATGATTAAGTTCCTGAGCCTCTGATCAATATGACAAAGACAATGTTCCAATGTTTTATGTAAATTTCATTTAACTAAGTTTGAGTTTCCAATATAGTTGAAAATGTGATCTGCTATATTTCACCTCAGTCACTGTAAGACTGAAGATTTGTGGGTTTCATCCATTGAATGCGGTGTAGTTTATTACACTGTTATGTGTCTCAAATTAGAACAAATAAAGTTTAGTTTCTTTTATTGGTTTCACTTATTAGCCAACACTATTTTCAAGCATAACGTATTAGGGCATCAAATAAATCCCATTTCTATGTGCACATATTTCTCAACATAAACAAATCCCATAGACTATCCCTTGATTTATATTTGATACCTTTAAATTCACGAATTCATGTCTTCAGATATAGCATTTTTACTTTACTATTGTTTTTCTAGAGAAAAGATACTTAATAACAAAACGAAACAATGTCTTCCGTGAAAGTAGCTGTTCGTGTACGACCATTTAATAGAAGAGAAATTCTAATGAACAGCGAATGTGTCATATCTATGTCGGGTCAATCTACTAGTAAGTATGAGTATGATATTAAGTTAGATTATATTAAATTTTCTTAAATTTTAATTACCTGTCACTTTACAGTCATATGTGAACTTCCATTTTATTATTTAAAATGCTACGGTTCCAATATCCCATATCTATTTCACGAGTTAGTACAAAACCAACTGATTTCTTTGCGTTCTTTGATAAATGAATTTACCTACATATATGACACATATATAGTTCATGTTTTATAGGTTTTCGTCACCACTGAATGAAGCACAAGACAGATACATAAAAGTTTTCTGAAAATTTATGGAGAGAAATATGAAAACGAACATCTGAGCAGATTCTAGATTAGTATTTTTACGCCCATCATGATTTTATTTCAAAACCACTCATTGTTTAAGTAAGCGAAAACTGTCACGCTTACTTAAAAACGATTTTTTATTATATCAAACCTTCCTTCATAATATTATCTTTTCTCATTATGATCTAAGTTTATGTTGAGGACGTTAGATCCCTAGAACTCACTTGCAAAAATCCTAATTTTGTATTTTTATTCTCAACTTTTGAATTTCCACGTTTGTGCTCAGTTGATCTTCAGCCTAGATTTCTCCCTCGGAAAACCATTGACTGTCATTAGTTGAAGAATTATTTCAGTACGCTATTTCGTGGCTCTCACCAAGGGCGTTTCTATCATTGTATAAATAAACTTGATTTTTATGCTTGGTAACCTCGGATTTTCTGGATGCTTGTAGAATGCACTTTCTATGCCTTATCAAGACTTATTGATCTAGTTAGCCGGACCTGCGACAAACGGATTAGGTCATTGCTTTCGTTCCGTTCACCGAGTAAGGTGAACTCCTAATAACATTCAAGCATATCCATTAAAGAGCATATCATTGTATACTTGACTTTCTTATTTGATTTGTCAAAATTTTACAGCTGTTTACTTTATTTCCGGTACATTAACCTACCCCAAATAAAAGTAGATTTGTACACTGAAAGTATTAGGAAAAAAATATTTATGATACTAGTCAAACAAATTTCACTTTGAAATTATCATGTCAACATTTTACCAAAAAGTTTGATGGTACATTTTTTCATTGTATATTTCGATAAGACCTAATTAATAAATTGACAAATTGAAAAGACGATTTAATTATCAGTAAAAATGTTTTATCATAATTCTATTGTTAATTATTCTGACTAAAGATGTTGATCGCATTGTTAAGAACGGTTCATCTATTCTAAATGTGATCAATTGAAAACAGCGTTTTATAATATTTTTCATAAAATATACAGCTTAAGTAAATATTGTTTGTCGGAAAGAAAGAATTCTCTTTATTATTATTCTACTTGAAAATTTTCTAGTTGACTGAATTCTATCATACGCTTAACAAGAGTGAAGAAATTTACTGGAAATTTAACATTGAACAGTTGTCATCCTTGTTCAATTCATATATATTATGATTTCATGGTTGTAGGTACGGTGTTTTGTTAAAGCCTGATTATACCAACTACTCAGGAGCGGGTTTTTAATAACCTTAGAACTAGAACCATTTATATTAGATTATATTCTTAGTTTCTCATTTCATGCTTATATGCTTTCTTTTTCACAGTTTTAAAATAATACATCATGTATAACCGAACTACATTTCATGAGCAGTTGTCTTTCAGTGTTCATTTATCACTTTAGTGTCTGAAGTTAAAACACATACAAACGGGACCCGTAGAAATGATACAAACTATGTACATAAAAGGAAACTGAAAACTTCGTTCAGTAATTTGCAACTTGAAGTAGAACTGTCGGAAGTCTGTTCTGATGATGGTACATTGCTTTTATCTACTAGAATAATACTTTAACAAAAAGTATAATTAACTTAAATACAAGAACCGATGATAGAGAATATTAATGGAAAAATCTCACATTTACTATCAGCCCTCTATGGATATTAGAAAATTATTCTCAGGAACACTATATGCTATTTGCTATATCCAGAGGATTGGAGAAATAGTAACTCCTAGGAATAACCTATGGATTATTAATATTATTATACATCCTTATCGTATAGTTATTAGATAACTATATTCCTTTTCACATTTAAAATCATAAATCAATCATTGTTAGACCACCATTAAAAACCTGGAAGCACTGGACGGCTATTTCGTCCTGGTATGGGACTCACCAGCAGTGTGCATCCACGACTCGTGGACCATGTATACAACCATGAAATCATAATATATATGAATTGAACAAGGATGACAACTGTTCAATGTTAAATTTCCAGTAAATTTCTTCACTCTTGTTAAGCGTATGATAGAATTCAGTCAACTAGAAAATTTTCAAGTAGAATAATAATAAAGAGGAGTCACTGAATTAAATTTTCTTTTGCGACCAAATTATTTACATAAGCTGTGTAATATTTTGAAATTGCTTTTACCCTTTTTAATGGTTTCATATAACAGTAGTTATTGTTTCAGGCATTAAAAAACCAAACTCCAAAGAACCTTCTAAAGTATTTGAGTTCGACTACAGTTATTGGTCGCATACAGATGTAAGTATACTATTGAATAATTACAACATTGCTTAAGAATTATGGTTGATTTATATACAATATAGCTTACTTCATTACTTTTCTTACGCCTGTTACTCCTCATAGAGCACAAGCCGCCGACTACCGTTCTTCAACTTACCCTGTCTTGGGCTTTCCTTTCCAGTTCTACCAAAATGCTGTTCTATTTTTCCATATCTGTCTCCAATTCTGGGTACACTTAGTCTACCTCTTTTCCTTTGGTCTCAAGGATTCCAAGTCACGCCTTGCCTCGTGATGCAGTTATATGATTTTGGACATGCGCGTCCTATTCCCTTCCAACGCTCTCTTCTAATTCCTTCCTTTGCTAGAATCCCATTTGTTCTCTTTCAAAGTGGGTTGTCGTTAATGGTGTTTGACAAACGGACCTTCAATATCTTGCATAACAACTGTTAGTAAACACACTTATCTTGTGAATGATGATTTTTGTGGTTCTCCAACAATCCCTTCCATACAACAGAACGGTTTTTACGTTTGTTTAGAAAATTCTGTCTTTGGTGTTAGTTGACAGTTGCTTTGAGTTGTTGGGATAGTCAATCGAGAAGAAAGCCACGCATATTGTGGATTGATGAACTATTTGATTAATGTTCATAATAACTATTTCATTAATGATGAACTATATGATTAATGTTCATGATAAACTATTTCATTAATGATGAACTATATGATTATTGTTCATGATGAACTATTTGATTCAAGTTCAAAATAATTAACGACATTTATATAATTGTATAAATACGCATGTTTGATTGTATATTTTTGATTCTGACAATAAGCGTTCTCCAACGTCTTCCGTCTTCTTATTTTTGAACGGAGGCGTCTAACGTTCGGGTGTCATTAGTACAGTGGTTTGGCGTTACATCAAGTACAAAACATAAAATGAGTTCCAGATCTTGTTCACTTGTAATATCCCGTTCTTGCTTTGCCAATGCGTGCCTTTACATCTGCATCAGATCCACCTAGTTTATCAGAGATTCTGCCAAGATATGCATTCCTACATCTTGCAAAGCTTATATCCATTAATTATAAGTTATGTACACTATACAGCCTAAACAAAACGATGACATATCCTTCAGCAATCTGCTTTAAAAAATATTTAGCAATATTGTTAAAAGTAGTAATGCGGAGATTAAAAGGAATCTTCAAGAATAATTTGAAAAAGCCAATTTTCTTAAACATATAGTGTTGTCAATTTACTTCAGTTAGTAGACATTTTAGAGGTTCTTATTTTTTGAACTGTTCAAATTTTCAACATTTTCCATGAACTAATAACCTTAATTATATTGAAGGGAGAAAAATCGATACCGCTAGATAATTCTTTTTGACACTGTCAAACGATATAAACCTAAGATGAGAAGCGTCTTGAACGTGAAAAATGTTTATCATTAGTTGTGCAGAAATAAGCAGTAAATAGATATTTGTCATAAAATTTTACACTAAACCAATGATTAAATGTTTATCAGTTTAACGTGAACTTCAGATAGTGAATGTATGTTTACTATGATAGAAAACTTCTAGATGATTTAAATGGAATAATTCTGTTTTTTCTTTACATAACAAATACACGTTTCCGTAACTGAGAAAGATTCATAGGTAGATGACAGAAATAGATACAGCAGAACAAGCTATTGAAACAGAAAATAAATAGCTGACATACCTTTGGTTCAGTGATTTACTTTGTGGTAAAAAAAATCTACACAAAATTTAAGGTTAGTATCACGTAAGAAACGGATAATATCCGAAATTGAAAAATTGATCGCATATGTTGAAAGAATATTATTTAAATTCTAACTGTATTTATTCATTTTAGAATTTTAATAAACCTCTGGTAAAAGAACACGATGAAAATAGGTGAGGCAGTAAACTGAACCAGTTCAGAAAATGCTATTAACCACATATAATTATGCATGGTGTTGTCTACAATCGTATTCAATGATACAGTGTTTATTACTGTTTCTCTAAAGTTTAAATAACCCATAAGTAATCCAAAGATTTGTTGACTTAAATTCCATTTTGTTGAACTTTGGTTGTAGATTTTCTAAGGTTTAATTTACTTAAAAGTACAGAGTGACAAAATAATAATCAAAAAAGTTTTTTAGTAAATTTTCGGTGCTGAAATTAGATTGTTTGCTAAATACACGTATCTGGTATTTTTCCCGACTTGTCACTACGATATTTTCTTGAATAAATTAGGAAACTGTCTCTTTACCTTATGTAAGTAAATATTCAAAAACTTGTTATTCTTTTGTAGAAATCGGATCCATTATACGCAGATCAAAAACAAGTTTACAATGATATTGGTAGTGATGCTCTTAACCATGCCCTTGAAGGATATAATGTATGCATATTTGCGTATGGTCAAACTGGATCAGGAAAATCTTACACAATGATGGGTAAACCTGGTGTTGAAGGTCAAGAAGGTATTATACCACAGTTATGTCGTGATCTTTTCAAGAGGCTGAACAAAACAACTTCTGGTCAAATAGTACAACATATGGTTGAAGTAAACAGTTGGTATATTTTTCATAATTACCTTTATATGGAGCGATATTTTGTTTCTAAAATCCCTTATGATTTATACGCTTAGCTCTGCAGGTAACAATATTCTTTGACATCTGGTGTAAGTGTAAATATTAGACATCGGTAAGGCAGAATTTAATTAGTTACAAAAGTTTGTAAATTTTGGTAGAGGAAAGCTTTTATAGTGAACAATAATGAGCAATACATTAAGCTAAAAGTAACATTTACTATGGATTCGTGATTGATTATGCATAATCTGGTCACGTTAAGTCTTCAAAAAGGTACAACAGACTTAGGAATTACATTATTTGAATCCGGTACGTGGCTTATTGATTATCCGTCAATCTCCCCTTGATCTCCAATTGATCGATTTATCAATCTTTTTGCTCAAGCTCCTCATGAATTTGTGTAATAAAATGTGCGAAGATTTTCGTGTACTTACGGTCAAATCCAAACAGACCTGTTAAGCTATACATTTAAAACATCATCGTTTCATCAGAATAAAACTATATTCTATTTTTTTATCACATTTGGTGGAGATGCATAAAAGTTTGCAAAACTTTTTGCATACCAACATAAAGATGTGTAATTTGCACAGTAAACAACACAGAAATTTGCTCAGTTAGTTAAATAATCTAACTCTTACATCGGAATAACTTTACGATTGATAGCTCAGCAGTTTTATTGAAGTTATGATAACTAGAGTCATTTAAATTACCGATAGATTTTGTAACCTGTAACTGCTATTTTAAATGATGTACAATTTAACTTCCGATGCATTTTCACTATTGATCAAATGGTAATAACTCGAAAATGTTATTTGCAATCATTTGTATTAAATACTAAAACTCATTAAGAACTTATAATTTGTAATCGTTTTAGAAACGGTGTAACGCCCTTATTGTTTTTAATGAATCACTGAGCTTTTTTAGTGTTATCTTAATTAACTGACTAGTTGCATATTGTGTAAAAGTTAACTATTACCAGTTTACTTTACCATTATTTATACTGTCCTAAAATTTCAGGTATCATATATTGAAATCTATTGTGAACGTGTAAGAGATTTACTGGATCCAAAAAATAAAGGAAATTTACGTGTAAGAGAACATCCTATTCTTGGACCATATGTTGAAGATTTATCGAAATGTGCTGTTATTTCATTTGATGAAATTAATGAACTGATCGATGTGGGTAATAAAGCAAGGTTTGTAAATAATTTATTATTTCTCATAGTATGATATAATTAGAGTTCTTGTAAACCGTTGAACAAGAATAAATGCCATTTACTTCTTTACTGTGACTTAACTTACAACATATTGATTGATACAGTAAGAACATATTGTAACTGACTTACCGCTGACTTAGAAATATAGTTTGTTTGAGGAACGTGACTGTTAGATAAGTTATTCTGTGACATCAAATTATAAATATGGATTTCAGAACTTCAATGCATGATGTCACTGTAATGTTAAATACCCTAAAGCATTTGTTCAATATAAACTACTAAAATTTGAAGAATCGATTTCTATTACTAGACTTTCTCTACAGTTAAGTAATGACGTATTACAGAACACTCAAAATACTCTATTCGACTAGCATGTTTTATTCTTATCCAGCCACGTTATCTTTTATGCATTCTGCATATGCTGGGTTTAGTCTAAAATCATTGAAAGGAAAAGAATCGGTTTGAACTATAAAGGCAAAAGTTAGATTACAATAGTTTGACAGAAGAAATAATCCAAGAAAATATATACAACTTTCATTTATAACCAAGTTACTGAAAAAAGGGGCAGGTACTATCGATCAGTAAGTTTACAAGCCATGTTGAATAGACAATGGTTGATAAATAAACCAGTGAATCACCCATTTATTTTTAAATGAAAATAATTAAATAAAATACAAAAATGGGTAACAAGAACAATGCACATATGTTCTGCATGATGAATATACTTGAGTATCTTTATAATTTCCATAGGAATCGATACTTCTGGAAATATCAGTCACATTTCATTTAGTCATCATGATATCTTAGAAAACTTATGTGTTTAAAAGTTCATTTTCAACAAAAATTATGAGAAACGTGAACTGTTTAATAGGGCGAACACATAGGTTTTAACAAGTTACAAAGATTTATCGCCATTAGAAAAATCAATTTTTGTCTCTTACTCCGTAATTTATAAAAATATTTATTTTAATTACTGATAAATAAATAATTAATGAAAATAGTTACTTAGTGAGTACTATTCTGAACAATTTTTGTAGTTTGAACGTGAATAACTCTATGGTCTACACAATCTCATCAACAATATTAATTACAGTAAACTCATCATAAAATGCTGCTGGCTTTCTCTTCAATTTAGCTGAAGTAACGGTTTGGAATTAGGATGAAAGTCTGAGAATCTGATCTAATTTGAATGATTCTTTTAAAGATTGTTATATGTATTGAGAAGCACTAAAAATTAGAGAATGATTTAGAACTGTTCTATCTTAGTTTTGAATCCAGGACATTTAAGTTTTGCACCGAACATGATATCTAGGTCATTACTCGAGATTTCGACTAAGGTTTTGTCTAAATCTAGGTAAGTTCCATTTTTACAGAACCTTTCAGCGTATCACATAATTCGAATGGATTCTATTACGAACTATACGGAACTGTCACTCCCATCCAAGACTTTAGTAATAATCAACTAATACGGATAAACACGAACAGACGACAAGAGTGCAGATAAAAAGTTCATTACCACTAAGCCAGAATCTGGAGCTAAAATATGATTAAATGTTGTTTATCCTAGATCAGAACTAAATTTAAATTGGAACTTCACTGTATTATTGACTACATAGCAACCAATGACTATTTTTGATCTGAGTTTCTGGAGTTTTACTATTCAACCTCTATGTTAGTATTAAGGTAACTATCACTAGTGAATGATTAACTATATTCTAAATGTCATTGTGGAAAGAGATATTAAAGATGAAAACAAGTTTGTGTCCAGAAAATTTACAAGTTATAAAACAAAATGAAAATAATTTTGTTTAATTTTGAAATTAGCAGTGAAGACATGAAGCCAGATGTAAATAGATGCATACCTTCATGTGTTCATGTGGTAGGGATTGCGGTCATATTTACTGTGTTTAATTTAAAATAATTTTTATTTCTCCCTTTCTACACACAGGACTGTTGCTGCTACAAACATGAATGAAACCAGTAGTAGATCACATGCTGTTTTCACAATAGTTGTAACACAAAAAACTGAAGATGTTTCGTATGGTACAGTAAGCGAAAAAGTAAGTAAGGATTTTCGATAGGTACATAACTTTGAAAATAAGTAGGAAATTAGATTAATCTACTGATAATATTGACTTCACCAGCCAATTTTTATGTGAGTATTTTCGTTTCTACTTATACCAACCAGATAGAGGCTGAAAACCACGAAATTATCGAGTACCCATGTAGTTTTTGCTTATATATAGTTTAGGGTAGGTGACGCAGTACCCGAGATGAGGCTGAAATGTAAACTGTCAGATCCTGAGTTGAGTTATATACTATACGGATTATAGAACAAATGATCAAATTAACTTTTTTATTGAGTTTCCTGAGCACGTAAGCTACACGAGACACGACTAATATTGTAGATAAAAATGTGAAGGCTAAGTATATTTAAAAAACTGAACATTATACAATAAGTCATAACGACTTAAATGAGAAAAAACACAATCTTCTCACAAATATAAATTATTAGTCATCAATAAAATTTCTTAAACTTTTCAGATTAGACACGTGAAATATTTTAAGCATAATTTATCTTTTTTGATAGAAAAATTCTGATGGTTAAGAGTTTTTATGAAAATTTTTGAACAGCAACCAGCTCTACAAAAAATAGTCTTTTCAAAACTGAATACTTTAAAAGAACTTCAATTTCAGTTAAAATGAAAAGTAAAGTAAAAAGTGAATTATTTTTTTTGTTGTTAAAAAATCAGAATATTTTTCATGCTCGCAAGATGAGATAATGACGACATGTAAATATGACAGAAATTTGTAAAATCCGTCTATTTAAACACGTCAATCATGGGTTTCGTGATGAACACAGTGATTTTAGACAATCAAAGAGAAATTAAATGGTTTGCGTTTACGTAATCCAGTTCAATCAAAATATTTAGATTCGGTTAGTGTTTTTACACATTTAAAATTATCAATCAATAATTTTTAGACCACCATTAGAAACATGGAAGCGTTGGACGGCCGTTTCGTCCTGGTATGGGACTCATCAGCAGTGAGCATCTACGACTCCTTAAACTCACAGGATTTGAACTCGAGAACTTCGGGCTTGTGCGCGAACGCCTAACTCCTGGACCCCAGAGCCAGCATTCAACGGTTTTAATGTCTAACTCCGATTGATCTAGGGATTTTGCGCGAACTCACCTGTTTGTCTTTGATAGTTACTGCCTTGATGTGTGATACAGTTTAAACTAGGAAATCGAAGATTTCAAATAGTTCTTGTTAAACTCTCTTGTACAGCATTCTGTCGGTCTATGGTGTTTTTATGTCTGATCTATATTAAGCACAGGAACTTAGTAAATATACCTGCTTAATCAAATTGGAGGTAAAAGTAAATGAGTATGTTGATGATTTAAATCGAGTTGTTAGATACACGTATAATATTCATAATTTGAATCCATCTCTGAAATAATGCCATGGTTATCAAAAGGAAGGATGTTCAACATTTTATTATCTGATCAGATTCTAGAAAAATCTTAAATAATATTTAGTATCTGTAGGGCTTAGGTTTATGGGATCAGAATGTATGACGTTCATATTAACGAAGAGTAAATGAGTACACTGAATTATTGAAAGATTATATTTGCATATCGATGAAGAGATCAGGACAGTACTTGTTTACTAAATATGTTTTTAATTATGAATAATTGGGCTTATTTTATTTGAGTTGATAACTTATTTGTTCAGATTAATTCTTTACTTACCTTTTTTATGTACTTTTATTGCATTAAAGGTCAGTAAAATAAGTCTGGTCGATTTGGCTGGGAGTGAAAGATCAGATGCTACAGGTGCAACTGATATCCGTTTGAAAGAAGGAGCAAACATTAATAAGTCACTTACAACACTTGGAAAAGTAATAGCTGGTTTGGCGGATATGGTTAGTTGTTAGATTTCGTTCGGTCTTTTTTAATGCATAACATTCTGGTTTTATGTCTAGTTTACGAGGGACTTATACTTAATCGTGGTTCACATAAACTTTGCTTTTCTGATCAATTTTTCTGGTTATCAACTTTAAACACATAGCTGAATGTTATTGCTGTCGATGGATCAAGGGAGACTAGTGCCCATTTCCAAAGACTTTCACTAACTATTAAACTCAATAGGAATCTTGATAAATTGGAATAATGGATTTCAATCCAAATAGTATTGTTATGTAATAGTAAACGCCTCAATTAGTTTGATTTATCGAGTAGTGATAAATGATACAATGTACATATTTATTAATATTAAAATCAGCAGTCTATAATTCGATCATCAAAATGAAAACAAGATTTTCAAAGATGTTAAAAGATGCTATGGTTTTAAAAACTATTGTACAACATTAATTTAGGAACGAGGAGCATATTAGTTAAACCAACATAGAATTATAACAAATGAAATACATTTTGTCAGAACAGAAAACGAAGCAAATATCTGTAAATGTAACCTTCATATTTAAGAATTACGATCATTCAAATAATAACAGCTTCAATATTAAGCAGTTTGGTGTAACATTTATGTACTCTGTCGATTTTTGCAGCAAATAAAATGAATAATTAAATTTCATCGTTGATTTTCTAAACACATATATTTTACAGACTATATTAGTGTACTTCACAGTTAATGAGTAGCAAGTCGAAACGTTAAAGTATTTTTAAACGTAGATTGAAACCATAGAAGAAATAAACTCAGACGATATAAGCACCTAGTGTTTGGCATGTTAAGATTCCAGTGATTTAGTACTTGCTTACTTACTTACTTACTTACGCGTGTTACCCCTCATCGGAGCATAGGCCGTTTTCTCCAGCCAACTCTGCCCGGGGCTTCCCTTTCTAGTTGTTTCTAGTCTTTGTTCATTCTTCTCATATCTTTCCCTATTTCTAGGAGTAATATGTCCGTTGACCCTCTCATTTTCCTTTGACAATGGGGGTTCCATGTGAGGGGGTTGTCTTGTGACGCAGTTGGGTACTTTTCGCAGTGTGTCCTATCCACTTCTACCGCTTCTTCCTGATTTCCTCCTCTACTGGAATCTGATTTGTTCTGTCCCACACTAGGTTGTTGATGATAGTGTCTGGCCAACGAATCAGTTTGTATTTATAGACATTTGAAGTCACTAATCAAATTACTTCTCTTTCCATTACTTTTGATGAGCTCTAATTTGTTGTAGGGTATCGTTCTGAAAAAAAGTTGAAATTACTAAAAGTTCATATCATCGAGTCAAACAACACCAAGTTTTGGTCTCGACCAACTTTGGAGTTGTGGATAAACATAGCATACACTGACTAATCTTCAGTTAGTTTTTCAGCTAGAATTAGTTTCTAGTGAACATAACTATCAGATTGAAAATAAAACCTTTTAAAAACTTACCCTTATAATCTATTAGAATGAAATATAAACATTTAATTTATCTACCTTTACCCATTAAATAAAAATCTATTCGCCTTTTTTGTCTAATTATAATTTACTATGTAGGTGTATGATTGAAATTGTTATCAAACATTTTCATTAAAGATTATCTTTTTTTTCAGAGGTTTTTATTTTAACAAAAACCATATTTGTTTGTTCAATATTTATACTTTTTGGCATTGCGGAGAAACTAATTTTATTGAAAGTTTTAAATATTTACGTCCTGAATAAAATAAGTGTGGGACTGAAACTGATCAATGGAAAGCTACATAACTTCGAAATACTTCTAGGTAGTACTTGTTGACTAAAAGTATTAGAAACTATTTCTAGGATTCAGTCATCTCAGTAAAGATGGGGTTAGCTTCGCTCACTAGTCTAATACAATATATATGAGATAGAAATTTAGGGTATGGTTTTGTTTTCATCTCTGTTGCAGAGCTCAAAACGAAGAAAAAAGAATGATTTCATACCATATCGTGATTCTGTGCTTACTTGGTTATTAAAAGAAAATCTTGGTAAGTATGCATATTACTGTACTCGGTAATAAAGCAAAATGAACGTATATCATGTAGAAAGTTTGCTTATTTACTCCTTATTTAGTGTTATTTCATTCCGAAAGTGTTCTACACAGTTCATAGAAATGTAGTTAATTGTATTGAAAACGTTATTTACATAAACGAGGTGTCATGAAACAGGTTTATGAATTGACATGTTTAAATGTACTGTTCTCCACTGAAACATTGAAGTTTCCTTATTACATTTATTTCACCAAAATTATTTTTCTGAAGAGATTCTTTTCCACTCAAAAAGTAACTTAACACCTAGTCAAGTAACGAAATGATTTCTCTATGAATAAAGAAATACAATTGTAGAAAACTTTGAAAACATATAACATTTATCGACTTATCGATTTTAATCCCTGACACACTGTATAACTGTGTCATCTGATTGACTGTTTTGAAATATTTCAAAGAAATGCTGAGTTAATTAATTTTTTTTTCGCACAGTTCTAGTTCTTAAATCATATTTCTTTCTATTTGTGAAGTTTGTTCAAGTGAGATTAAAATGAAACAAATAGATATTATAGTTTTTGTTTACAATTTATTGACGTAGCAAATTATCAGTAATTTTACCTAATAATACTACTATAGTGTTATGATGAAAATGATTTATCCTCATATTTACTTCCAACTACTACATCTAACCCGTTCATACTGTCACAAAAATATTGTCATTCACTAATTAAATTTATCGATAATTAAATAAAGGAAGCTAAACACTATACAATAAAAAATATCCATATATACGCTTGAATGAATTGTGAGATGAGTTAAAAACAAGAGCTTTTTCACAAAAATAAATTACGTTCAGTGTTTTTATTAAAAGTGAAGTCCTGTATTAAGATAATTCACTTTGTCCAACCACTTTAAATATGTAAGATGAAAAGAGAACATACATCCCAGTAATCGATAGTTTAAAAATGTATCTTGCCTAATAGGGAATAAATTGGTTTTATAAAGAGTAGTAATAAAGTAGTAAAATTCACTGTTCTTGATTATTGATCATAAAAAAGCGGATGATCAAATAATATTTTTTTATTTTGCTTGATAAACTCAATGTCATTACTATATGGTGCTCATTTTAAATTTAACTAAAGGTGGTAATTCACGTACAACAATGATTGCAGCTTTATCACCGGCCGATGTCAATTTTGATGAGACTTTATCAACTTTACGTTATGCAGATCGTGCCAAAAGTATTGTATGCAAAGCAATCATCAATGAAGATCCAACAGCAGTGTTGATTAGAGAATTAAAAGCTGAAGTAGCCCGATTAAAGCAAATTCTAAAAATGGAAGATCAAATGAAAACCTGTAAGTTCGTAATAAATATTGTTATCTATAAGGTATTACCAGATAATTTAAATATGTACTGGTATTTATTCGTTAATAATATATTCGAAGTTATTGCTTACCCATAAACTTTATTCTTATTATTCACCAAACCTTATGTGATTCTGAAATCATACGTCAGATTAAAATAAGAGTGTTAAGGCTTTAGTATCTAAAACTCTAACATCAGCGGAACACTAGCAGATTTAGTTACTGGCCATATTAGAGGTTAGTCATCACAATATTGTCTAATTCTTTGTGTAGGTCAATGTTGGGGACGTTATATCCCTAGAACTCACTTGGAAAAAGTCCTAATTTTGTAATTTTATTCTCAACTTTTGAATTTCCATGTTTTTGCTTAGTTGACCTTCAGCTTACATTTCCCACTCGGAAAATCCTTGACTGTCAATGTTTGATGGATTATTTTAGGACGCTGTTTTAGGGCTCTCTCAAGGGTGTTTCTATCATTGTACAAATAAGCCTTATTTGTGTGCTTAGCGACCTCGTAATTTTCTGGATCCTTGTAGAATGTACTTTCTACGCCTTATTAAGACTTCTTGATATAGTTAGCCGTAGCAGGAACAAACGGATTAGAATAGCCTATCGTGTATCGTGTATCGATGACCTTCGTTCGGTTTATCGAGTAAGGTGAACTCGTAATAGTATTTAAGCATATCAGTTGAGGAGCATATTAGTCAACTACTTAGTCTAATATGTGATTTATGGACTTCATAAGAGTAGTAATTCGTAAGCTTGGTATATTTATAAAATTCGAATCGATTCTTTTCCAATGAATCAAAATCTCGTTAATCAACTTCTGATTCATTTTTTAAATTCGTCTATCTCTGTGCCCTGCATATATTTAAAATCATACTTTATCTATATTTTCATGAAATATCTTGAATTAATTCACTAATATTCATTCACATCGAATTAACTTAGATATCATTGTTTGACTATTATTGTATCAAGTTTTTGATAACTTATTCAAGTTTCAAATTGTTTTCAGCTATTACCATTGGAACTTCACCTATATCAAATCAAAATTCGACAGAAACATTTGTGTATGAAGAAGAAACAACTTTGGAAGCTCTGAAAGCTTCTGAAAAGTTGATTGCTGAATTAAATGAAACAATGGAGACAAAATTAAGAAAAGCTGAAAAACTTCGAGAACAAAGGTATGGTCATGCGTCAATTATCATGAATATAGTCAGAATATTAAAAAAAACTCACTTTATTAATGAAGCAAACATACATTGATATTTTATTGAATGGATTTTCAAAAATGTAATAAAACTCATTTATCAGAAACGTGCTCACAATGTAATGTTTCAGAGTCAAATTTACAAACTAAAAGACTTAGACTTACTTATAAATCTTGTCTACTGACGTATACAATATAATTTATATGATAATTTGGATGGATGAAGTAATTAGGGCTTATCAGCTGTTCACTTTAATTAAACAATGATCAAAAGTAAAAAAAATCAATTTATTTAGGTTTTCTTTGTAGTTTTTTGTTCAAATATTGTTGGACATTATTCATGAAACACCATATTTTGATATAATAGAAAGGAATGAAAATTTTCAAAAATTACATCATATTTGTTTTAAATAGCATATCAGTGACATTTATTTTATGAAATGTAAAAATATCCATCATTCGTAATAAGTTTATTCGATATTTTCATATTCAAGTTACTGTTTGCTGTTGATAATAGAAATATGATCAAGTATGACAATTGTTGTTGAGATTAGTTTCATATATATATTCGTTTATAAAGAGATATAAACATGAAAAAACCAGGTTACTGAACGTAGATGATTAAGTCTGTTTCAGAGCATCCCAATGTCTTATATTTTTCTGGTGATAAAAATGAAATTTTTAAGCTTTAGAGCGGTTACATTAACTGGATAATGAATGGCAGTGTAGTCTACAATGAGCGTTTTGTGGAAAACGTTGAGTCAATCTGCCTTCTTTCATATACTAACGTTTACGCCGAGATTCAAACTCACTATCATAGGTTTGAGCATCAACGCTACAATCATCAATCTACTGAATTCAGACGATCACTAGTTTATATTATGGATACTACATTACTCAAAAATGCTGTTATTTTCCCCTAGTTTATATTTAAAGTTGTAGTTAATCGGTCTATATCAGAATGTGTAGATCGAGCAGACGGCTTGAAATTTCAAATTTAATCGTACATGCTCAATTGTCAATAAAATCTAGGAATAGTATTTTATGTTATTTTTGACTTTTCAGCTAGATATTTACATTCGTTCAGGTTATATCTATGCGAAAACATACTGATTAAATATATTCCCGTATATCAAACGCAGAAAAATAGGTTGAAAAATTTACTTATAACTTAATTCGGTTTGCGTTTCTTCTATCACCTTCCAAAATTTGAAATATAATCTTGACTAAAATCTATAGTAATTAAAAATTCAATTGTCAGATAATTTCTGTGATTAATTAATCACAATGCAGCGGATATCTGTGAATTTAATTTTACACTCCGTATATAACAACACTATCTAACTTGTGTTACAATAATTCCTAGCTATATGTAATCTTTACAATTCTAAACAAAGGAAATAGAATAATTCACATCATATAAATATCAGGTGATATGACTAGCAAGTAGATGTAGTGAGAGAGAGAGAGACAGGAAAGTATAAATTCATATTTACTATGTAAATAAACAGGTTAGTGGATGAGCAACCGGTCAAGTATAGATAAAGTTAGTATCAACTATTGATGTTTCACTAAATAAGTCGAATAAATGCAAAGGTGAATACAACATGTTCAAACTGGTTTATCAACATGAGTTGGTGAAAGTGAATTTAATGGAAATCTATACCGATTACTGAAAATTAAAATAACACTATCTATTTGTCAGCAGGGTTTATTTAAAGGTTTAACACGGAAATATTAACTGATAAAAAGGGTTTTTAGCTAGTTATTCGAAAAACGGTTTTAGCATTTCTAATAGATTTGTGTAAATGTGATTTATTAGGAACTCATGTAATTTAGTTTAAGATGACATCACATACACAACTATGCTAAACTAACATACATGTGAAAAATGAAAAAAATATTCGATTCATTATGACATAGAGCCGAAGGTAACATTTTGATGACTAGTTTTGGTAATTAGGTTTTCATGAAAAAATATATCTCACTTAACCCATACTGAGTTTGATTATAGTATATGACCTTTTCATTTACCAAACTGAAATTCATAATTAAGCAAATTGAATTATTTTTCATGGTAGTTTTTTCCCATCTTCTTGTTATTGATTTTTAGAGAAAATGAATTAATGGAAATGGGGATCGCTATTCGTGATGGTGGAGTCAGAGGTGTATTTTCTCCAAAAAATGTACAGACATTTGAACTGTTCTTGGAATTTATTCCATTGATGTTGATTGTTAAGTTTTATCAGGAATTTATTTGATTTTTATTTGATTGGATTTAGAAAAATGGACAACGGAGTCCCGTTCGAGTGGTTCATAGGTATAGTGTTTGCTGTTAGAAATTAAGCCCTGGATTTGAACTCTGTCAAAATTGAAATTGTGTACCAAAAGAATATGTCAAAGTATGAAGAAATAGGTGTACGAAACTCCTTAGATTTTATTAGTACCTCAGTTGAGATCAATCTTTAGCGAAAATATCTAAGAAATACTAGTCTAATCATTTTGACACTAACTTGTGCGTTTTTAGCTCCAAAACTATCCTTGTCTAGTGGTTTCCTGTGACATTTGATAATGTGAGCTCAGCAACTACATCATTGGGAAGTGTTTTAGCTAATCTTAGACTGATCGTATTAAAAATAGTACAATAACTATGTATCTCTGGAAAAACTTGTTATTCTACAAAAAACCTCTGTTACACTTGTCTCAGAGTCAGAACAATAATTGTCTCTTTTTAATTAGTTTTATTCTTCTAATGTACAATATTTTTATTTCATGAGGCAGTTTTACTACGAACTGTTATATTTAATATAAGTAAATAATAGTAGTAATTTAAGACGCAGTAGAAATACACAAATAAAACATATATTTTAAACACAAGAACACGTCGTTTATGATGATTTACTGTTAGTGGCTCTGTAGAAAACGCGTTAATTATTTGGAAACTCAGTTCTCTTAACCACAGAAAATATCTATCTGAAAAACTGTCCTAAGAACTGTAACTTATTCTACACTTGTACCTGCTATTACGCCTAACATTCCTTCTGGTTAGACGATATTGTTAGGTAGATTTATCAAGAAATCCAAAAATGATTTAATCATTATTATTAATAATTCTTTTTATGATCACTCAGTGATTTTTACAATTTATGTAAGTACATTTACTGATTTCGATGTTTTGCTTGATTTGATTTATACTTTTTTTGAAGACTCCACATTTAGTGAATCTTAACGAAGATCCAGCCATGTCAGAATGCCTTATATACTATCTTAAGGAGGGAAAAACTGTGTAAGTCTACCAGTGGTGAGAAATTTAATAGCGTTAGTACTGTTTTTATTAATTATATTTTTCATCGAAATATTGTGAAGAACCAATCGTCTTGATAAGAAGTACAGTAATGACTAACATGTAACGTTTTAAAGTTAAAAGTGAGTTTAGCTTACAAGTAGAACCTTGAGACTCTTTTCAATTTACTTAATTCCTTCATAAATCTGATGAATTTAAATAAATGATTTACTTAAAGAGATTTATGAGATATCTTTTTTGGTTACTGCTTTGAATAGGCAAAGTAAATTTAGTTTCTTACTCGCGGCACCCAATTAGTCAATTTTATGTTTAGGTTTAACAACACTAATCTGTGACTCTCGAACATTTCCTAATAATTTATTATGTAATGAATACAAGTTTTACCTTGTGATTTCTTATAAATGATATTTAGCCCTGGAATATTCTGGTTACTGTCTATCTGATTCCCTTATTATCTGCATTCCAGATGACCAATGCAGGGAGATTACTGTTTGTGTGTACAATTCATACCTCAGAATTACTGCATCCATTAATTAGGTTGCATAACAATGTTTGAATTTCAAACACACTTGATTAGAAAGCATCTAAGTCACTGGCGTGACAATGAGCCACGGACTTCAGTTTGTCGATTGTTTTCATTCTTTATCTACAGTGATCATGTTTATTCACATGTCTAAACTCAAAGTAATCAGTGAATTATTCAGAAAACTACTTTTTTCGGTTCATTTAAAGAATATGCCATGCAATTATAATTCGTTTTTGTTCTACAGAGTTGGTCAATTGGAATCGGAATCAGGAGTTGATATTGGCTTAAGTGGTCCACTTATTCATAATGAACACTGTATTTTCTACACTGAAGGCAGTAAGTAGATTGTAAAAGAATTCTACTAAAATGAAACTTAAATTGTCTTATCTAGATAACTATGTTGTTCTTTAGTATTCCGAATCCTTTAGTTAGTAAGTTACTAAAGATTCTTCTGCTTACCTAAGTCTGTAACAAAATTCAAAATCAAACATAACTACTTTTTAGTGACTATATGACTAAATAATAACCAAGTACTTGTTTACAACTAACTTCTTTACAGATGTATTATTGAAAATCTAGTAAGAAGTCTTGATTGCTAGATCATGGGGGTAACACTGAATGTTGATGACGGTAGACGACTGTATTGCTATATTCCAAGTCTACAATAATTAAAAATTTGGTATTAATTTTTTTTAATAGACAGTCAGAATTTAAACATGAGGATTCTTTGTTGATGAATAGAAAAGTAATTAATTAGTGCTACAAGTAACTACTAAACAAGCTTTTCACATTTGTTTAGCATGAAGCTGAAGTATAAAAAGACTCAGTAACTTTCGGGCAGCATTCAGCATTTCATATGGTAATTCAATATTTCTTAACACAAAAATGCATGTATAATAGTAATGTTACATTTAAAGTTTGTTCTGAAAATCCAGTAAATGTAGAAAAAGAATCCGTAAATCGTCGTAGGCTTTTGCTATTTGCTGCTCATTCTTAGTATACATCTCTAAAGACTAATCATGCATGCTTAAACCGAAAATTTCATTAGTTCGCTAGTTCAGTGGAGAATCGCAGTAGAACACAAAGTGATGATGAGTTTATTTATTTTGATACAGATGGTCAAAACAACCATCGATCTACTTAATATCGATTGCTCACCCATACTGGTTTATTTCAAAATTTTCATCTTTGAATCCGTTTCACTCAGTATTTGAAACAACACTCAATCTATCTAATATCAACTGTTCATCCCTACTAGTTCACTTCGAAATTTTCGTCTTTGAAAATGTTGCATTCTGTATTTGAGACGTCATGCCATCTTTAACTCAATAATTAGTGTCTCGGATAAAAACACACCATTTTCAATTGGAAGAGTTCAGATCTATAGAAATTATTTTTAATGCCCTATTCTTAATAACCTATTAAGTAACGTACAAATTTCAAACTCAATCTTTTTCAAAATTGAAAAATTATAATTTGCTCATGATAGTATTGTGAGTAATATATGATAGTGATCATGAATAGTTACTGAATAAATAATGGTTAAGGATATGATTTTATTAGCTAGTCATTATCATCCCTTTAGTTTTATTTTGCTCAGCATAAATGTAGTCACTAACTTTCCTTTGGTTTTTATAGGTATGGTTGAATTTGAACCAGTTGATGAAGCTGAATGTTACGTAAATGGAAGTTTAGTTACGACGCGCATCCAACTTCAAACAGGTGCCCGTGTAATTTTAGGCAAAAGTCATGTGTTTCGTTTCAATCATCCTCTGCAAAGTAAGTTATGTAAAATGACCGATTTAAAAAAGATATAAAATCAATTTTCAGGTTTTCAGAACCAGTGAATTTAATAAAAATCAATATTTGTCCATTTTTTTTCATATCTACCGGAAATTTTTCAGAGCACCAATAAATTTATCATCTTGATTCAATTTATAGTAAAAAGATTACAAAAGATCATACAAAAATCTATCGCAGTTCACTGAATACACTAAATCTGCCTCATAAGTTTGACTAGATCAGTCCAATCAACCAGGATGTTGCATGATTTATTAATGAAAGCTATTAAAATGAATTTGTTTGTAATGTTAGAAACTGTAGAAAAAATTGTTAAGTACAAACTACGGTGTAGATTTACTGAAATGCAACTTACATGAATAAACTTCCAAAAAATTTGTCTGAATACGTGACCAGGTTTTTGTTTATCTATATTTGTCAATTCTAAATGGACACAATAAAGGGAAAAAACAGCTGATTAACAATTAAACATTTCATTTTAATATTCATCTGAAACTCAGTGATAAATAACTTCCCCTAAAACTGAGTACACAAAGATACTTTTCAAAAATTCGAGTTGATCTATATATTACGGTAAAATTTAAATTGTGGATTATATCTACTGCATATATCTGTATTTCTTTTTTAAACGTACATTCATTTAAACAAAAATTAATGTCGTTCAGTTTACAATTAAATAGCCTGTATCTATTTATATAATCAGTAAACTAGTTAATTCAGTTAATTTTTTTCCTATTTTCGTTAATTTAAAATAATATGCATATTAAAACAGCTATAAATAAAATCGACTAAAATAGTATCCAAAATTCGGTAAACAGAAATGTAATCAACTTAGATTTCGATTACTTTACTTCATAGTACATGTGACTGTTTATTTGAAAACTTAAAAAGAATGCATAAAATGTCTATATCTAATTTTTTTCCATTGGTAATGGAATATACCTGACTGTAGATATGGATATAATTATTGTACGTGAGATATAATCTGTTTATAACAATTTTCGTCTACAAAATGGTTAATATTAACTGTTAACTCAACTATAGTACTATCTATTTATTCATATTTCAGTAGTATGTCCTCCTAGTTTGTATGTTACATTCTATTAGATTGCATAAGAGAAAGTGATGAAGGTTAGAAGTATGTCTATCTCACTCAATAATGAGACTGTGCTTTTTTTTAGAGATTTAAATATTTACTCTGTCTGAAAGATGTCAGAAATTAATTCATGTTTTTGACTAAAATAAATACTGCAGTGATTATAAATCCTAATAAAATAGGGGGAACAAATAATAACAGTATAGAGTTGTTGAATAATGTTAAGCGGAATAAAGTGTTGAGAATTATTTGAAATTTCTACGGTATATATTTTATGCATACAAGAAGTGGTTTTATATTACCAGTGGAATAATTTTTGACTTGTTTATAACCCAATTTTTATTTTATGATTTCTTTTGGCATCTAACAATATAACAAGAATGATACTGGTTTATTATGAAGAAGAATTGAAAATGATTCCTAAGCAATTTATGTCTATAAATATTTAAAGCTGTTGTGGCAGCGGATATTCGATAAACACTCCTAAACTTTACATAATGTTCTTTCTGTATAACTTGAAATATGAATTCAGTCGTTTTCTCAATTTCAACTGTGTAGCTTGATTACTTCTCCACATAAATGAATATGAACACATGCAGTTATATGATAAATCCAGCGTATTGCGACATAATCATAAAAGAATTTTTGATACTGTTAGGGACGTTAGATCCCCACAACTCACTTGGTATAGGTCCTACCTTTATAAATTTATTCTGAATTTTTGAATTTCATTTTGTGCAAAAGACGCTTTGTTGACCTTCAGCTTACATTTCCCACTTGGGAAATCCATGACTGTCATTGTTCGATGGATTATTTTAGTACGCCGTTTTGTGACACACCCAAGGGCGTTTCTGTGATTGTATAAATAAGCTTCAGTTGTATGCTTATCGACCTCGTACTTTCTGTTTGCCTGTGGAATACATTTTCTACATTTTATCAAGACGTCTTCCTGTAGTTAGTGGGACCTGAAACGATAGGATTAGAGTAGGCTATCCTGTCACTGAATCATTGATCGTCCTTCCCTTTACCGAGTAAGGTAAACTCGTAATAGCTTCAAGCATTTCATATACCTATGTAAATGGTTAAGTTGCCCTTGTCAGTGACGGTCAATCTGACATTCCATTTTTTTATTCGTTTTTTCATTTAAGGGAGTTATGTTGACTGGATAATATTACAGTCACATAACTACACACAATAACATAATAAATAAGGAAAAATTAAATTTACCATTCATCAGCTAACAGTAAATTAGTTCCCAGCAATCTGATAAACATAATTGCCAGAAATAATATTTCTTCGTGCCAACTGAGATTCATCTACGGTTTATATTACAAACCATGTCAAATATTTATCAATTTACTGGCTGAACTATAGTGATTAATTAAAATCAAACAGGGATTCGCAATTTTCCACATGAGTGAATAGCATCAATATTTAAATAGCACTTGAACAGACTTTGAAGTATAGAACAGTAAATTCATTTGGTTACTATAATTGTTTTATAGAACATTGTTTAGCTTCATGATATTTGTCGTTATTGAGTTCATGTTAGTGAAAGAATTATAGCCAAACAAAAGAGAACTAAACAAAAACACATCAATAGAAATAAACCTAGGTGTGGATATCAAATAAAGTAGAAGAACTTCAAAACTCAAGCAGAATTCAGAAATCAAAACATCTTTATTTCCTTCCGTTCATTGCCTATTTTCAGTGAATAAGTTTATGAAAAATTGCTCAAGCGTAATTTAATGTATAAATTTAAACAACTGGTTATTTTCAGATTGTGTAGGGATCTATAGACTTAATTTAATCTTAAAAACACTTTGAAGAATCTTTAAGTATTTAGTTGGTTCTGTAGAACTTTACATGCACAATGCGACTGCACATTAAGTTCTTAAAGCGTAGTTATTTGCTACTAGGAAATGTCCTAAAATCAACAAATCATGCTCAGAAGTAATTTACCGAACAGTTCGTTTCCAATGAATGTCTTTAATTATCTAACTTATTAAAATTGGTAAGAAATGACTGAGTAAATGGCAAATCATCAAAAGACAAATTTATACAATTTTCGTTTCATCTAAAGACTGTTTTATGTATTTGGATTTTTATATTACGATTATGGAACGTTTGGATACTTCCTCAAAATCTTTTGTTTTAGTTTGAAAGAATTGAACAGGTTAATGGTTAGGTATATGAGATGAGAGGTTTATGGATTAACTGTTCACTGGAATGATAACCTTTATTCAGGACTAACTTCAGATGAACAATAATTGAAAACCAGGATAAACAATACATACATTTAATCCTAGTTTAGGAATACTTAACCGTGAGGTACTTAAAAGCCTGTCAGGATTCAAACCCAGAATGTTTAACCTTTGTACCAAGCTCACTATATGTATATATAAATATACAACTTCAATTAATTTACGAAATCGTTCCATCCAATGTGTTTTGTATTCTATAATCTTGCTTCCATAATACAATAAGATTAAAGAAGGTAGAAATTCATGAAAACCCCTTTGTGATACTCTGTTTACAGGTCGTGAGAAGAAAAATGCCTCTACTGATATGTCAGGTGAGTTGAAGTTGCTTAAAAATGAGTTGGTTCACCTAATTTATTTTAAAACTTTATAAAGAATTAGCAAGATGAGATGAATGACACTGAACAGTAACTGAAAAATGGCTATAAATATCCTTTCATTAATGAAGTATTTATTGACAAATATACTTAGTCCTAACAGAAACTAATTACTTATAAAATCGATCATCTTACGATATATTCGTAAGTGGTACTTTGGTTCCGATAGGCTAGAAATGAAAAGTTCATCAATGAATATATCATTCTGTGAATAAGTCAATATGTAATGATGATTTTATGTCCGTTATATGGGACAGGGTTCAGGATTTGTAATGACTAATACATTTTGGTTGTTAAACTACCGGTAGATAATGTGCAGTGGTCTGATACAGGTGGCTGGTGAACGGTAGGGAGAGTACACTGTTAAAATAATCCCTTCTCATAACAAACTGTCATCATCTAGTCAGAGGAATAGGTTAAAAAATATCAATTGTAAACAGATTGGAAAATGTGTATTTTGTAAACCACTAACATACCAATAAAATTAAGATCTGTGCTTAGTTTTATCTCAACATATCAATGCGTTTGTAATTTATTATCGAAAGTTTAAAAAGTACTGTGAGGCCAATAAGCTTTTGTTTTAAATACATTATAATCTAGTCAGTAGTGTCGAACATAGTGTCTCATATTTCCGGAGGCTAATCAACCTTTGATTTCAACCTTCTAACACTGATTGTTGTTGTAATGTGATATATAGTAATAATAAATACTAATCACTAATAATAATAATAACAATGAAATCTCAGATAATATTGCACTAGATTGGATACTGGGTTGGTAAACTGACGCAGAATAGATCATATTATACCCGAAATGAAATGCAGGACCAGATTATAGGCTAGACAATAGTTTGTTTAACATGGCCAGCCCATATCCAGTAAATCCAGAGGCAAAACTACGCTCTAACATACCAAAATGTACTATGTAGTAATTAAAATAGAGAAGTCTGTCTACCTTCTCTTACTGGCCAATCACGTGATACATCAGTTCTATGATCTCAAGTTCGGTTTTTAAAATACTGTACTGGTGTTATTCACAGAATATTTGGTGCTTAATTAAAGTAGTGATGTTTGTTTAGCCAATAATTACTACTTTTCTCAATTAATATTTCTATCACAATTTATAAAATAAGCTAATTGTAAGAATGTTAACTAAGTACTTCTGTTTCTATGAAAAATTTTTCAGCTAGTGTTACAGAACCAATTGACTGGAATTATGCTATCAGTGAATTATTATCAAAACAAGGTGTTGATTTAAGAAAAGAAGTAGAGAATCGTCTGATACAACTGGAAGAACAATATCGTCGTGAAAAAGAACAATCAGATAAATTTTTTGATGAGCAACGGAAAGTAAGTTTTAATGACTAGAAGATGTAAAAATAAAACTGTGAATAACTCTAGTAACATATGACACTTAAAATAGTTGAATATATTACATCCAGTTTTCTATCGCTCTTGATTCTGCTTCGATTCTCGTAATCGACTTTACAGGATTAGCAAATGATTTACTGACCGAACACAGTGGTCATTTCATGTTGATAATCAGGAAGAAATGAAACTAGGAAAGGTTCTAGTTAGAAAATTGCCTTAAATTTTGATCAAAATTTCTACAACTTTAGAGATTTGCACCCTCAACTTAGTCTAATATGCTTTTAGCACTAAGAATAAGACATTATAACATTGTGTGTTATACAATGACCGATAATTTGGATGTCCCAGTCTTACAAAAGAATGTTATCGGGAAAGGGTTCTTCAACAGTAGAATTTGAACTAATATCTTATAATAGTAAAATATCACGATAAGGTATAGCAATAAATATTGAAATAAACTTATTTTTCTAAATCATTATAAATGTTCTAAACAGTTCACTGTTATCATCATAAACCAAAATTTAGAAACACAAAAAATTAGATTGATATAAATATTTCTCGTTGACATAAATATCCTACAAACAAACATTCATTGCCCGAACCATTTACGTTTCATTCCTGTTATAGTTCATTACTCATTTATTCCAAACACAAATTCAACGATAATTCAGATAATTTTATTAGTAATCACGATAATTTAATTGTCCTCAATACTTTTTACAGTATCCTTCACTAATATGTATACGTACTTCATTAGATATGAATAGTTTTCTTGTTGAATATTATTTTTTAAATGTTTATTCAGGAATATGAAGGTCGTATACAAAGTTTACAAGAACAAGTTGAACGTCATTCAATGTTAGGCTCCATGATTCAAGAAGACGTGGTTAATGAATCAGAAAGTGATGAAACTAAACGTAAGCTCTATAAAGCTGAAATAATTTTCTATGAAATTAATTTGATTTATTTGTCTTAGGATAAGATTTAATCCTAATAATATTCATTCATCAGGTATTCCAAGTTTATTCTGATAAATCAAGAAGATATTTATCATTTGTGATAGTTATTTAAAATTGTTTGATAAGAGTCTTCGTATTTAGATGCAACTGAGATTTACTAACATTTGCCTGATTTAAAAGCTGAAGAAGCTGATATTTTATTAAATGATTCAGTAGTCAACTCTGATGCTAAAATGCCTGCTCTTTGGCTAAGTGATAAATTTATTACAAATGGTTTTCTGTAGACCGTATATAACTTGGAGTTCATGATCATAAGAACATTTTGATATAAGATCGTAGGTATAATCATTAGGATTTGACTTGATTGTTTCCAATAAACTCAACATAGAGTGGATTGTTAGTAATAAAAATAATATTGTCATAATATTCCAATGAGTAGAAAAATTAAATTTTACGTGACTTAGTGTAAGCCAATTTTCATGCATACAAATTCAACTCTATCCTTGCACATTATAAATCTCACTAGTTTCACACTCACCACATAAATGCACAAGTATGTTCCGGACTGATAGTGACATCAACTTGATTAGACCTGCTTTTTTTGATTGATTAAATAAACTAAATATGTTTCCCCTATCCCTCTGTACTGTTTAAATTTGAGTTAATTTAATTCGTTTATTTATTTATTCACTGAAGAAGTGGCTGACACGAAAAGTCACGAAAAGTCATAAAATTTTATTATTTTTTTTTATTCATTGGGATGCTATAAGCTTGTGAGTTTCATGCATGCGAAATCATTATGACTGATCAGGTAGGAGATAGATTAATACACAGCTGAAACTAGTTGGATAAATCAATTAAATACGGAACTTCCTATCCTCTCACTAATTAGGTGAAGACTTTCAACAATGACGGGTCACTCATTTGTTGATTCCTGAAATTGGATCAAATCCTGATTGTGAAACACTATTAGAAACAATGAACACCGGAGTACTAACTTGATGTTTCTAGGTACATCTTATCTAATCATAATTCCTGTGGTTGTTACAATTCTCTTGTACACTTAAAAAGTCTAGTCCTTATATAGTTGCTGACCCAACTATTTAAATGTTTTATCTAGTGTTCTAATTTTTTTAATAGGTTAGTTAAATATTCTTATTACTTTAAAATTCATCATATATCAATTTTAATTTTTGAATTATACGCCATTTGATGACAGAATTCATTGATACAAAAGAACTTTACTTGTCATTTCAAAATAAAAAAACATTGTCTTTTATAATTAGATGAATGTAAATGGGGCGATCGTGAATACGAATTAGCTCGATGGGCATTCAATAAATGGATTAATCATCAATTTACATCATTACGAGTGAGTTTACTGTTTAATATCTTGAAGTATAAATGTTAGAGTTATAATTACAAATGCTTAGTTAAAAATCGTGCTTAGAATTTTAAGGTATTTTATTAACGATTACTTTTAACATTATAAATTACTCACAGTACTAGGAATCTGTTAGAAGGATGGAACGGAAAGAATAGTTTGTAAATTTATTTGGAAACATCATACTTTTATTTTTCCCAATTTGAATCTAGAAATACAACAAAGGTATAAACATTTCGGAGAATAAATGGAACATATGTGACAGTTTTTATTTTACTTTGCGTATCATCGATGTATAAAATGTTGTTATTATTATTGCTGTCATGAAATTCTTAAGTCAGTAAGAGAACTGTACTCTTTGAATATATGTATCTGCACATAATACGTGATTTAGTCAAAATTACTTTCCCATTTTAATAAATACATTTATCTATCATTTGACTATTAAAAAAAAGATGTGTTAACCTAAACTACTAACAAGTTTATTAGCTTTCTCGTGATATGTAAACCAATGTCTAAGGATTACTGCCAGTGTCCTCTAACAAGCTAATGCATGACCTATTTGTTTAATCTGAAGTATATTTTATGCAATTAGCTACATTCTGCTTCATTTATTACATTAATTAGTTAACAGATTCTTTGAAATTTTCGACAATGACACAGCGCGATTCATTCATATTCTATTCCTATGAATGCTTAACACTTATTTGAAAGTAGTATGTTAATTCAAAAAATTTCTTAATTTTATCACACCTTAAACAAATCAATTAATCAAATTATTCCAAGATGAATAATGCATTTTGGGCAAAGTGAAACGATCAAGTAAACCAACTTTTTCCTTACTGGTGATACCTTATTCAGCTACAAACAAGACTGGTTCATTTGAGTCTCTTGATACTGTTGATCCATATCAAACTCAAATGTTATTAATTGTGATGAGAGAAAATTTGATGCTGCCTTACAATGTGCAACAGAGTATGCTGCTTTAGTTTCTAATCTTTAAGGTCATATGGGTGACGATTTGAACTTACTGTGTTACCTACTGAGTCTTCATGATAATGCTTATATTTTTAACATGGACCAATTCAGGACCATTCATGTGACTTAAATGGACATTAATCTCGGAACAGAAACACTTGATAATTATATTCAGTCTAGTGAAATGGCGATCGATGGAATGACCATCTATAAACTTGAAATTAATCACTTACGAGTGCATGGTTTGCGATTATCATCATTAACATAAGATTTTTATGTTTGCAGTCAGATTATCATTAATTCTTGTTAAATGCCTATTCATTTGACAGGCAAAAACTTTCAAACGGTTTTTTTAAATCAGTTAGCTTAAATTAAAAATTCACTTACATTACAACAATTTCCCATAAACGATCTCGCTTCAGAGGCAATAGCAACTCATCATTTTAAACCTGAGCTATGTATGCAAAAGCATTGTTCCTAACTGCATCATATCTTGACTCTAATACCTAAATTTACCCGTCTGATGATCGTTTTTATTAGCGTTCTCCATCTTGAATAGATACGTATGGCATATCTAAATCATTCGTTCAAGCTGGAGTCAACTTATGGGACCAATAATTACTGTTTGAGTTATCAAAGCATCTACTATCTATTTTTTTAACACTTACGCTTACATGGATTTAACATTTGAAACATCATTGTCAACTGACATCTCTGTTAATGCTTATGAATGCTTATTCTAGTTATAATGTGTCAAACAAACGCGATTTCCTTGTGACGATTGTTACACCCTTCTGAAAATAAGTTTCTCATTTTTAACAAATACTCACTTGTACCAAATACATAGATGATAAATTTAATTTTTAAAAATGACCAAATCCATTTTCTGTTAATTATTTTTATAGTATATTTCACGTAGATATGTTTTGTCAAAGACTGAGTTCACTAAAACACCTTTAGAATAAAAGGGATTTGTGGAGACTGAAATCTTCAACTGATTAAAGACCCATTCTGTTCAAGTATGAGACTCCTCTGAAATGCGCATCCACAACTCTTGTACCCCCTTGAATCGAACGCGGGGCCTTTGCTCTCGCGTGCAAACGCCTACAGTCTATGCCACTAAGCCGTCAGCCAGCGGTGTCAATGCCTAACTTCAATCCATCCATGATGTTGCTCAACCTTCATCCATTTCTTGCAGCAGATAACCGTACCCTACTCGACATGTGTTGAGTAGGGGAGTGGACCGCTCGAGTTCGATTCGTGTCGAGCAGGGGTCTCATACCAGGATGAAACAGACGTCCAGTGCGTCCAGGTGTTTAGCATATATATATATGTACAACTGATTTTCAGGGAAATAAACGTGCTAAGCTAAAGCTTTATCATATTATTATAATATGATATATAATATAATATAATATGTTCTGACAATGATATGGTCCTAAGCATGTTTTCCCTAAAGCATTTCCAGTTAATAATTACATAATGACTTTTTAGAATTTATCCTATTTTTGTTCTGTTAACATTGAAAATATAGTGTCAATTATGGGAAAATGCTGTCTATCTAAAAGAAGCAAATGCACTAAGCGTAGAATTAAATAAAAAGGTAAGTAAATGTTTTGAATGATATATTCACTGAGTTACCAAATGCATAATTTTTCCAATAGTTAGGTATAGTTAAAGTGTATTAAAACTTGTATAAAGCAAAGTACTGAACTGAAAACCCTCAGTTTATAACTGCAATGAGAATGACGAAGCATAAATCGTCAACTGAATTACAATGAAATGTAACCTGAAGCCATCGCGTTCTTTAGTGATCTTAATAAATCACTTATCTTGATTAGGGCAAATGTGAAGCTATGCCTAAACTATTTGTCCTCAGGGTCAATTTGTGAATTGGATTAGTCTGTCAATTTTAGCCTAGATAACGACATGACTTGTATCATTCTCTCTAAGTAGCTAACAGAATTTTATAGTTTCTCTAAGTGTAAATCATAATTTATTGTATTTTACAGCATACCATACAGAAAATGAATTATCCTTTCAGACCTTGACATACAAAGTTGTAACTAAAAATTCATAGTTTGATTTAGGCACTCGTCTGTTATTTGCATCCTTCAATCAGAATATTTTTGGATAAAATAACCCTAGTGCTATGCAAGAAGCTATTGAATTTCGCTTTTTTTCCATGTGACTGAGTCAATTTCCTGATTACATGAAGGCGCCTGTTTCATTTTAATAGCTAATTCAGTTGGTTTGTGTATCAGTATCATGATTTAATGCCTTCATTTAAAATTTAACAAATCTTCTCGTGCTGACGCTTTCAGTAATTAATACGAATTACGTAAGAGTTTAATAGTTCCTAAAATAAAGTCAAATCTAATTAAATGCTTCTACTAGCTTGTAATGCTTCCTTTATTCACACATGCATATACATTAATTTTTTAGATTCAATTTCAATTTGTTCTATTAACCACCACACCATATACATCGATTCCGAATGAATTAAATCCTATGGATAAATCAAATTATGATTCATGTGAAAATCAATGCAGTGAATGTTCATCTATTCAAAGTATACCGGAAGTAGAAAATGAATTTGATCAATTCACCAATTCCTATTGGAATCAATTAGAAAAAATTTATAAAAATCGACAAAAAAATTCAACTATTTTAGTAATAGAAATTCGTGATCTTTTAAATGATTTAATACAATATTGTAGTTTGAATACATTTCAGTAAGTTTATGGAGATGGTTAAAAATATCACATTGAAAGTGTCATAGTTGTCTTAAAGTGAAGAGTCTATCATTTTTGTATATAAAGTACAAAGAATGTAATTGGTTGAAATTGGTTGATTTAGTGCCTGGTTTCTCATGGCAGTTAGTCTACGATCTCTGGTATTGCAGTTGACTTATAAGGTTATCGCTTACTCTGCCTAATAGTCGCTTTCAAATATTATGCATCCTGTCCATTTCTAAACATCATTTTTAGAGTGTTTGGTCACGACTGTGCTTCTGATGTATTTAATTATTCATCAAAATCCTTTGTATACACCGAAAATTTGAATCATTTCTGTTCGTAATAAGATGAATATCAAGTTCTGAACCAAACTACACGGATAAGGATTTGAAGTGAGCTATCGGATCAACTTTAAAACATGGAAATATTGAATAATAAAACAAAAACATCGTGTGTAAAATATGAAACATTGAAAATATTTCAAGAACTCAACTACACGGTGAAATTTTCTCTGCCTTATTTAGTTACAGTCTAGTATCTAAAACTAAAGGCGCCTAATAATTGTTATAATGCGGTTGCAGTGATTTTTCAATTTCTTACTTGTGACTAATTTCGAGAGGAAATTTCCTGCGTCTCAGTGAGAAACCATGACTAGTGAAGCTAAATCTTATCGCATATCACGAAGGCACTGACCAATGAATCCCAGTTCGATGGTCTAGATGTTAAGCCTTTGTGGGCAGGACTGAAGGTTTAGAGTCCGGTTTCTGACTTCCGGGTAGTTAGAGTTCCATTCTTGGGAGACACGCTTACACATTGCTTCTAGATTTTCATTATTTGTTTAACTTAAATCCATTTGTGGTTACAATTAAACTCCACAATTTCCATAAGCTCATAAGGACAGTTTTCTAACCTATCTGTTGATTTATTCGTAAATTGTTCATCTAACAGTATTTTCTTCATTTCATGATTTTCACTGATTAACTTGGAGATTAGTCGAAAAAATTTGTATTACCTTGAACTTTGGAATTTTCAGATTTAAACTGTCTTGTCTTCGATTCAAATATTAGCTGTGGATTTGAAAAGATCACCCAGTTTCAACTAATCAAAATAGTTTAAGCCATCATTCTTAAAATAAATTATTGTAAACACTGACATCATTACATTTAATCTTGACTCCTTTGACGTTAGACTTTTTACCAGACAGTTCTGTAACTAATAAACCTTTGGTAAAGGTTTATGTCATGCATATATGTGTGCAGTTAATATTTTTTTGTTATGGTAAGAGAAACATGTTAAAATACTTTATGCTGATAATTCCATATTGTACTAAATATATAATTTTGAATAAAGCGACCGGTAATAATAATCAGAAAAGTATACTTATTAAGCATTTATACTTATTCAACAATATAAAACGTTTTTCGTCAATTCATAAGTCTTCAAATTAATTAACTGATACATTTTTAATTAAAATGAGTTTTTTAAATGTATTCAACAAATTCTAGACGTCGTCTTCAAGCAATGCGTGATTATTATGAAGTTGAGACAGCATTTTCCCCAACACAGAAAACTATTGAATATAATTCATTCAATGACAAACAGCAAAAGCCCAATGACAGTGAAGTACCATTTAGTGAAATAAAAAAGGATCCATTCCGAAATGAATTTCCTTGGTATCATCGAATTGGCAGGTAAGCAGTGAAAACATTTGTGTTACCTGTCATGAGTTAAAATATACTTCTCTAAAAATATAATAAATGAACTGTCTGTGGAAGCTTATGGTCACAAAATATGAATGATGAAAAATTCAAACTAGTTTAATCCAAACAGACAATCGAAGTAAATTAAATATATGCAAATAAAATCAAGTTTACATAAATCTCAGTATCGGTAGAATGGAATTTTAGCTTTCGCAGGATGATTTGACTGATGAATTACTGAAATTTTCAAAATCCTTCTAGTTCAAAGAATAAATTGGATAAGTAATAAAGTTCAATCACTTATCACTATGACTTCAGTATAGCTAACGTTCAGTATTCCGTGTATAAGCTAACTAAATTGTACCTCCATTTTTAAGTGTTTGTACATTCCCCTTACTTCAGTGTTTCCTTGTCACGTAACAAGTTTACAGGTTTATTCGCAGCTTCTTATTTTGCTTATTGTTTTATACTACTCGCAAGTAGTATATGTCTGCTAATAAAATTATCTAACTCAGTGCACTGTATAAACTTGAACTGACGAATGAAATATTACTTAATGTATTAACAAATTGTTTAACATAGAAATGAATCTAGGTGTTTACTTAATCTATTTCATAGTCAAAGATTTGCCATTAAAAAAGGAATTCAAACTCAAATCCCACAAAAAAACAAAGTAGTCAACAAATAATGTACTGATTACTTTGACAAATATTTTAAATTATTTAAAATATTTTGCTCCACTTAAGTTTATTATTGATAATTGATGAAGCAAAGTAAGTGGAGGAAGATGTTTAGAGTTCGCAAAGTGATAATCTCTGACAATATCAAGTTATTAATCAAAAATCTTAGAATGAAGAAGACAAGAACTTTAGATGCAAGGCGTTTTAATTTCGTTCTGATTAGTTTGTAGTCACTTAATCACATACTCACCAGCAAATACATTAGACATCATGAATTCAAGTCTTTTCAGTGATTATCTTTCCGTAGAGAGAGTTTTGTCAGTTCTAAACTAGTCAGTAAACGTAAGCGCTGACTGACATTCTTCATTATTTCCTTAGTACCAACTAGTCCATGAAAGGAAATCGACACATTATATCTCAACTTAATCGCCATTCGGGTTAATATTTTTCAGTTTAGACGATAGCGACATAATGAGATTCGTGTTATTTTTATAACTGATAAACAAATATTCATTATCAAGTTTTTGATTCAGTAGCACAACGTGTTTTGTAACTGAAGTGCTTTAATGATTTGAGGAATTGTGCATTTATTAAGATAAATTCCGATTTATCACTTCATTTTCATGAGAAAACTATCAAATCAGTGTGCCAGTAGCAACTTACTAATGCATGTACTTTGGTTTAAAACTTGAATGATCGATAATTTTCAATATCTCAAAGATGAAATTATTTAGTGATTACTATTTACTCGTAGTATTTATTATTCTTCATTTTGGTAACTGCTTTCCTTTCTAGAGGTCTGTTATACTTAAAGAATCTGTACTATGGCATTCCAATGACTAGTCAAGTTACTTTGTTAAATGAACATAGCTCAGTGACTGGGATTTTAAATATTGAAGTTAAACCAATTTTCGATTTAAACAAATGTGAGAATAAAGTAACTGATGATCAATCCATTTGTCAATCTGACACAAATACAGAAACAAATACAAGTGATGAATTGGAAATTGTGTTTGACAACTTACAGTACATCAAATGGGTAAGTAAAGATAGAAATATTTATCTTACTCTTCCAATTTATACGTACATCAAAGTCGGAAAATACTGATTCACAAAATTTGAAGTACTTCAATCTTATTTTTTTTTAAATGTTCCCAGTTCGGAGACACTGTTGTGTTCTACCTCCGTTTTCACTTTTTGGAACGCTTTTGGATAATCCGTGGCAATAAAACTCATCATCAGTTCTTTAGGCCTGCTTAGCCTTCCATCATGATTACAGTTTTGATAAATTGCAAGTAAATCCTAATATATAACTAGATAACACACGTGATTTTGATTGCATATTTTATCTAATTGTCGTGTATCAATTGAAAAGGTCAAAAAGGTCAAATATATCATTTAGGCCTGATGAAATAAACTGTCAAGATCGGTCCAATTCTCATCACATTTATCGATTTAATGTCTATCGTGTTTTAGCTACTTTTTGAGTGCTTTATTTCCTTAGACTAATTAAAATTACTTCAATAACTTAAAATGTCATCAAACAACATCACTGATAAAACTAATTTTGCAGATTCTATTTATCATGGATAAATTAAGCATTCTGCTATGTAAAATAAATAAGAACATCCTCTTGAAACATATTTTGCTTAGGCAAACATGAGGTTGCTGAATATTTATTTTACAAAATTGTTATATTCCGAATAACCAGTGTAGCAAAAGATTTGATTAGTTAACCATAATGATTTAACTGTATGATCTTTCATTTAATAGAGATCTCTGATGCTACCGACGAATAGTTTGAAAACTGATGAATATGACACACATGAAAATAAAGTTAACAAACCAAAAGATAATAACGGGATAGAAGATTTTCAAGCACTTCAAAGCGTTTCCAATCAGAAGGAAGGTTCAGATGAACAAATCAATCCTCATGATAACGAGAACGGATTAAAATGTAGATGCCGTAATCAGTTCTCTCATGAATCAACACTGAGTAAGTTGGATGCATTACTTGTTAACAAATATTTGTACAATTTGTCAGGCAAATTATTTCGTTGACTTTTCCTTTGATTCGACGAACATCATCAAAATTGTAGATAGGTTATATCCACTTGTAAACTAACTGTTTAATGTTAAGAATGAATTGATGTTATGAACTGGAATTCTCTAGATAACTATTGAAAGAGAGAAAACATTAGATAATTGACATGATGTACTGTAGGATTCATAAAAAAATGTGTACCCACAACTCCATCAAGTGTCTATTTAATTTCCTTTAAACGTTCCTATGCTCGTGTCATAATTGAACATTTAAAATCCTTCAATTCGTCATATTTCGGAAATTATTCCAAAAAGAATAAACTAGGACTGTTTGCAAGTGTAATTTTACTTAGGGTATCATAATCTGAAGTAGGGATGAAACAGAATTACTTGCAACATACCAAGGATTCTTATATATATATATATATATATATATATATATATATATATATATATATATATATATATAATTTGCAAAGAAAATTATTTTAAATGAACTCATATACTATTTTTGTTTTAAGTCAACTATCTCTGAAACCTCCAGTTCACTATCTAAGAGAGATCTTGTTAAGCTTAGAAGAATGCGCTATAATACTTAAATATTTTAATGAGAATAACATTGAAATATATATCATGCTCGCAGTTATCAAGTCTATTAATTGAATTTCATTCGAACCACCAACTTTTCTACGAATAGTTTACTTCATTTGATATGAGCTAATTAATTTAAACATGGAATATTTCCACTGCAGATTTGGTGACGGCAGCAGGTGACATATAAAAAGCTTAAAATAATCACCTAACATAGTGTTGAGCGATGTTAGATCCCCAGAACTCGCTTGATAAATATCTTTATTTTGTTTGTGGATACGTTTAAAAGAGCATTGGTTAGGTCGAAATGGGAGGGGACACCAGCCGACGCATAACGAAATTTCTTGTACGTCTATCGAACAACACCAAATGAGTTGTTACCGGAGCAAAAGTCGGAGGCAAAGGTGGTCACTCCACAGAAACCAGATACGTAAACGGCTAGACCCAGATCGTCCATCAAGAGTAGAAAATCTTGCCCTTGACATCCTGCTTGATACCTCCAACCTACCAGCAGCCCCCTTACGAGAAGAAACTCAGTCACAAGCTGATCTCCGTTCTCGAAGGTATCCTCCCAGACAGCGGCGAACAACAGTCAAGATGCAAATCAACCCCAGGAGCGCACTCTGTTAAAAAGGGGAAGGGTTTTTTGGATGTTAGAGCCCCAGAACTCGCTTGATAAATATCTTTATTTTGGATTTATTTCATGGACCGATTAGTTGACCTGGAGATCACATTTCCCACCAGGAAAATCCTTGGCTGTGATTGGTTACTGCGTCATTTTAATGTGCTATTTTTGTGACTGTCCCAATGACGTCTCAATAGGGTATAAATAAACGCAATTTGAGTGCTTGGATTCATTGTGTGCTTGCTGGGTGTTTGTAGAATACAATTTCTACACTACATCAAGACGTCTTGCTGATGCCTTTTGGTCAAAGGATCACAGTAGCCTACCTAGACGCTGGTTCATTGTTTTGTTCTCGTTATTCAACTAAGGTGAACTTATAACAGTTGAAGGATACCTAGAGACGAGCGTAACACATAGAAAGAAGAGAAAATGTAAGAAATTTGACATTCAGCCAGAACTAATTGAAACAATAAAACTCAATATAATCAGTAGAAATGGACATGACCTTGAAGCACATGATAAATAAAAGAATTAAAAGCAATAGAGACCAAATAGGAAAAGAGCAAAGGTCGTGAACAAAGTCGAATTAAGAAAAACGCATCCACAATTATCGTTACTTTAAAATCTTCATATGATTACTAACAGACAATTATACATGTGATTGCCTTGGCAATCGTTTAGTAGTCTCAGGCGGATCAGTTGAGATAAGACATAATTTAATTTGTGCAAATTTATTTATTTTTTTTTGTAGTTATAAGTCAAAAATAGAGTGATTAACTAGCAGATGTCACTAAAGTTTGATATTTTTAATTCTGAGACTTCAATTGATAATAAATTATTTTTTTTAAAAAAATTTGGCGAGATTTCCGTGGATATTTGAATTGATTAATATTTCAGGAAAATAATTAATCATATTATTTAATCCATCCATATGTTGAAACATTTTAACGTCATATATTCAACGAACATTTGCCTTAGATTTGTTCAATTATAGAGTATTTTTCAAATGCTGATAGAATGTTAACGAAATTATTTTTTGTTAAAGCAATTATCAGTCTAGAGTTAGAGTTAAATTCAAACAGTGATAATTTGGACAACCATTTCTTTCAAACTCTCAACTTTTAAGCTAGCTAACAAACGAGATGTAAAGGGAAATAAATTATTTCTCATTAATTTTGACCACAAAATCCTTATTCTAAATTCCTAAACCAAACGAGCATTGATGTACCAGCTACGATACAACTCTTATCTGAAATAGTTGGTTCTCAAGTTCACTATAAAAGTGTTTAAATGTGCATGAATTTATCTGTTTCGTTATTAGTTTAAAAGTCGAATAAACCTGTATTTTTCGTTCAACTTCTTCAGTGGTTTGGGAACTGTCAAGAGTTAGTTAGAGGATAGTAAATGTTTAGCTGAAGATTTTTGGGTTGCATTCACAAGTGCGTTAAGTGTTATTCCCATAGCTAGGTACATGTCAAAACAAGATCATGCTCATAAACTTTAGGTCCGTTTACTAACTCATTCCGTTTAACTTACCCTGTTGTGATCCAAATATCTCGGTTTTTAAATTTATTCAACGCATGAAAGTAAGCTATTGTAAATGAAATTACAAATAAATATCGAGTGAACATGTACACGTGCTAAAACAAGTCGAAGCTTCGGGATTTAGTAATAAAGTAACCTTTTTCTAGTAAAACATTAGTTTTTGCATCCGAGTAATAACAAATTACAAGTATTAGTTAACACTTCAGCTATAGCCAGTTTATTCATTTTGATTCAGGTAATTTACTTGATATTTCATTGGGGTGGAAATATATTTCTCACTTATTTTGAAAGGAGTACAAAATATTATTCAGAATGATTTTTTATAATCGTTCCAATGTAACAATCTCGACTTAATATTATTCTCATCATAGAATTGTGAAGAATGTTGGGTTTCATTGAAATGATGAATCGAACATTTTCAGATCACCATTAGAAACCTAGAAGCACTCGATGGTCGTTTCGTCCTAGTATGGGACTCATTAGCAGTGGTGATTGGCGACCCCCACTAGTGGCAGTCGAATCCAAATTCTTCGCTCTCGCGTCTGAATGCATAATCTTTAGACCACTCCAGTGTCTTACTCTAATCAATCTAAGAATTTGAGCAACCTCACTCACTGTCTTTAGTAGGTAACTGGGTATGACCTATAGGGTTGGACTCCACTGGTCAAGGCTACTCACTAGAACTCTGAGAATTTCTTCACTAGTGAGCATTTTTTTATGAGTTTCATCATAGATCTGTGAAGATCGTTGAGTTTCATTGAAATTAATATTACTCGCTAGATAAACATGTCATTCCGTGTTCAATGATACCATAACGATTAAAATAAAATTCAAGAATTTATATTCAAGGCCAAACAGGGTAAACCAACATAATATATTCTTAGTTTAAACAGCTAGTTTTATGTACGTAAGGTACTTTTGGTATCTTCCATCTTTTCAATGATAATACTGGAGAGGTTACTTTTTCCTCACTAATATTTTTCTTTTAATCTATAAAAGCTGATCAACACAAATCTACCGAAGAATGGTTGATGGAACAGTCACAATTGTCAGAAAATGATTTACCTCTTTTTTTAAAGCTTGGTAAAGTATTCAAGTTTTGTATAAATATTTTAAATGCAAAGAAATTCAATTCATCTTTTACTGATATCTTCATTCAGTACAGGTTAGTAATATTGTTACTAGTAGCATATTATAAGCTATCATTATTTTGTTTAAATTAAAAAATATTAACATCCTTCTCATTCTTTGAGACATATCATAGATTCTAATCGTCGATTACCTATGTCAACAACACGTCAAGCTTAGACAAAGTTCAAGTTTTCGCTTGATTATCTTATGAAAAGCGATTCTAATCGACACATATACTCATCAACACTAATTCATGAATTTAAAGAGTACAGTGTTTTATTGATGAATAATTATCCACTAGTAGAGTGTCACTCAGAGGATAAAAAGTGCAACACATTGATTAAAACCCACATAATGGAAAAACGGGATAAAAGTGGTCAATACGTTGCCACACTGTATTACAGTGCTCATTAAGTGCATATAAATAAATAAACGTGTACTTTGCGTAGTTCTCACAGATTTCACTAGATATCATGAATTTACATTGGACGCCTACCTCGAAATGAACAGTAGATTGTCTGCTTAAACTATGATATTTTAATAGTTATAGTTGTTAGTTACGATACTGTTTCGTTAAACTGACCTAATTGTTATTGGTAATATAGATTGTCACACGATGTAGTATATTTATTTTTGTAGAATATTTTTGTGATTAAATTTAATTTTTTAATACATTTATAAATTTGGGTCAATCACTCACCTACATACATAATCCTTTAGTTCAAGTTCACATAATCTTATTGTACCTACAAATTGCGATTTATACCCACCACAAATCTGCGAGACTTATCTAACTAAACATTTCTATATTTAGCTATTATTGTACATAACATGCTAATTTTCGTCTAACTAATCAAAACAAACTGACAGAATTATCCTGATTCATAAAAAAAGTAAACTGATCACAATGAATGAATCTTGGACAAAAAAATTCACATGATCCAAAAACTGGACAACAACACATTTTTTTCTGTAGACATCATTTTATACAGCCACTCCCACTCATTAAAACAAACAATTGCATAAAATGCCTAAAACTTATTTATAGTTTTTCTCTGTTCATTTGTAAATACCACAACCTTATGTAGTATATATATAATTTTAGACATATTGATAATAATTTGTCTTGAAATCGGAATATTAGAATAATTATAATCGATTCATCATCGCTTAAATGTGATAATCGTTTGTTTTGACAATGAATACATCAAATGAACGGTTTTTTTTTTCAAAAATATGTTACAATGAAAAAGATTAAAAGACCAATTATGTTGTAATTACATATTAAAATTAATATGAATAACAATAATTTACTAGTCAATATCAATTTGTTTTTCCTATTCGTCTATATTTCCATTACAATCATGTGAAATCTAACTGGTGAAACATTTTGTACATGAGAAACTTTCTATCATTGTTGTTTTTGCCATTTATTTTCTTGTTCTTATTAGATTTCAACCTCAGCATAATGAAATTTTTTCAACGGACACTGTACCATATGACAGTAAAATGAATGGTGCCAATATTATGCAATCACAAAATGTAAACAGTAAACTATTAATTTTAGAAAACTATTTTGATTTCAGCGTTTTCATAAGTGGGAAATCGATTATAAATATGATGGTTTTAACAATATATATTACTATTTATTTACCTGTTGAGTAGTATTTGTATTTCTCATCAAGTGAACTATTCAAGTCTGGTTTGAAAATTATCATTCACGGGTATACAAAGGTTTGTAATAGCTCCACCAAAATATTCTCTTATTCCATCCATGTTTGGTATAGATTTAAAGTATAAGTTTGTTATGCTCGTCACTTGATATGCTTGAAACTATTACGAGTTCACCTTGGTCGGTAAACAAAAGCGAGACAAATTATCCAGTGACACGATAGGCTACTGTAGTCCGCTGCCCCATCTAACTGAAGAAGAAGTCTTGATATGACGTAGAAAGTGTATTCTACAAGCACCCAGGGAAATGCGGTCCCCAAGTACGCGAATTGAGTTTATTTATACATCATGGAAACGTCCTTGGGAGAGCCATAAAAATAGCATACTAAAATGACACACCAACCAATGACAGTCAAGAATTTCTCGGATAGTAAATGTAATCTCAAGGTCAGCTGATCAGCCCTTGTGCGAAAGCATAAAATCCAAAATTAGGACCTTTATCAAGTGAGTTCTGGGGATCTAACGTCCCCAACAAATATGTCAGTTATATGGGACAAGATCATAAGAGACAATCAATGATAATATCCATCAAAGCCTAAAAATCGATAATCCTTATATCAAACCTCAAACAAATTTTATACTTTATGGTTGTTTAGAAACTTATTGTCAACTATTAGACATTTTACTTATTTCATTTAAATCAATGGCGTGACTTAACAGATGTTAGAACAAGTTTACGATCAGTGTGCACTATTACAACTTTTAGATAGATTATTTCAAACTATTCGAAATTTTCTCAAGAAACATTGGTATGATTGTGGCCAGTATTGAAGAATAATCAAAAATTATTTTAGCTTTACGTTTAATTGTTTTTTATATTCTGTTTTGACAGTTCAAAGTGACCAACACAATTGCATTTATCGACTATCTCCTTAATTATCCAGTTGAATTTGATGTTTATGGGCATTTCGTTGACAAAACCACAGAAAATAATAATACTCAAGTAACCGATAATCAAAATATTTTGAAGTAAGTAATTCATAAGACAGATACATTCATTGATTGTGTCAGCTAACTCAAAGAAATAAAACCAATTTACTTTCGTAATTTATATAATTTTAAATTCATCTACCATGTTATGATATTTTTTTCTAAAATTAACTTCGCATTTTATAGCATTTCATGTAAGACTGTTGGTAGTGAATTAGCAAATGTCAGACGTTCAGATGATCATCTCTACAACTGATCTGAAAGAGAAATATTTCTTCTATGTTCATTCTATCAGAACGTAACTAGTTTCTCTCATATATTCAATGTCCTCAATATCGTACATATTATGGTTTCAAACAAATTAGAATTTAAAAACTGTGACGAATTTGAATTCACCAGTCACTTACAGTCTACAGATTCGTAAATTAATGTTTTTTTTGAGTTCATCTTTAATTCTGTTCATAATATGAACATGAAAACATTTTGCTTAACAAGTTAGATACCTTTTTAGTGACACTTTCATAAAAAAGGGGTTATTGACACAAAGATTGGTAACAAATTATGAACCATTGAAAACCAGACAGAACACAAAAAACTATTTTAGTTTGGAATTCTTCTATGGTGTATATAAAGGATCTGATATAAGGTGGAACTCAATACTTTCGGACCTTGAGGCAAACACATAACTAAGCCAGAATACGATGCATTCTATTTTTTCAACTTGATTTATTGTGTAATTTAATGCATTTTCTCTAACTAATGTTATCTGTGAGTTACGGTTTCTAGTATTTCAAAACGCAAAAAAAGATTTGTAAGAAATTTTTAGAACCATCCAAAACATTATTCTTCTATTAAGTAAACTTTTTTTATGAAAATACTGTTGAGTATCTATAGAATTAATGGTTATTTTTTAACTGTACGTTCATCTCGTCAATAAAACTCAGTTCCAATACTTTTTTTAGAGCATACGCCTAAAGACGATAAAGACGACAATACGCTTTCATTTAATATGCTTGAATGCATATACAATGTTTATTGTATTGTATCGTTTTTGACAGGAAGTATTGATAAATGACTCATTTTTAACAAAAAACATCATAGACAAACTTTTTCTGATACAAAAATGATTCTTTTAGCTGCTTGATTAATCGTTATCATTATTCATTTACTTACTACTGTAGTGTTGGAAACTGTTTGATGACATGATATAGGAAGATGTGCATCAGTGTATTTTATGTTTTCTGGTATCTTTACTCCCAATTTCCTGTGTGGGCTTATCTCTTCTATAGAGTTAAACCCCAGAAATGAACATATTTGAAAATGTACATAGAACCAGACAGTTTACAATTTAAATGTTACGATTGAAAATATATCACCTCAAATTGACTGGACAAAACAATGTCATAGTCATTAAAAGTAATAAATACATCAGTGTGAATATTGGCTGTTCCTGTATTATAATTGTCAGGAACAGCTGGATTCGTTAAGGTTCAAAAGTTAAACTTCATAAACTCACCACTAGGGATTGAACCCAGAATCGTTAGTTTTACAATGAGCGTCTATTCTCTAGATTAAAATAGCGAATATGTTTCAATTCGATCAGTTCGTCATACAACGCTACTATCTCCCACTGCCTGGGATGGATAAATATCTCACTCTTGACATCTATTCAATCTTTACTGATTCTCAGTCGGTGTAAAAAATAAGATTAGTCTGTGATATGAAGCGAGAAATTCATCGATTTCCACAATCTTTACCTCAACACTCATCAACCAATAGTTGATTTATTTTAACTGTTAGGTTAAAGGTCAATCTTAGTATTCATTCACTAAAAACCCAGGGTAATAGGAAAACATTGAGTGATGGTCATTTTATTTCAGAAATTTTAGTTACATCAGCTGTTACAAACGAATAAAATACAAGCGTTTGCGTCAGCAAGTTTTTTGAAAAAGAAATAATGAACGTAAGCGATTGTCCATTCACTATTAAATTTCAGTCAACGGGAAATTTTCGCTTCATTGAGGTCACAGATTGCCTAAACACATGTGCGACCTGTTTCCTGACATTAAATTTATTTCATTAAGTTACCTCTTTTTGTTAGCTTTACCACGTCATTTATGTCGCATAATCAATTCAGGCGCGTATATAAACTTTTGCTTTATGAGATGCAAAAAAACTGCAATTCAACACATCGCGATGGCTAGCAGTATGCTGAGAAAAGGATAAACGTTAATAATATGTCGACTCATGGACTGCTTCTTTCCAACTGTCAATCACCAATTGTTTTGAAAAGGAATTTTGTTGAAATATTCCATGCTGAGAATTCCATATTGTACCAAACATACAATATTGAAAAAAGTCATTATTACTACTATTATTTTAGTTAGCCGATTAATGAATACAAGTAAAAACCAGACGACCGTTTCATTCGAGTGTGAGATTCCTGATTAGCGAGCACTCACAACTCCACAACCGACAATCTAACTCATGATCTGCACTTGGATAAAAAGGAAATTAACTGTTTGCAGTAATGGGAGATGATAACACAAAATCATTGGTTAATGTGATGCTGGCTCAGAGGTCTAGAAGTTAAACGTCTATAACTAAGTCAGAAAATTTTGAGTTTTGTTCTCTGTGGTAGGTTCAGGTATGCACAGTGTTAAAAAATCTGGATGCACTGGACGGTTGTTTCATGCTAGGACGGAACTTTTTATGATTTCCTCATTGAAATCGGTTCCTGATTTGAACAAATTCCAACCATTATCACATACTCCTGCATTGAATTATGAATGTTTACTAAAAATGCTTCCATGTTCCTTTTAATGAATTTCAACGCTGATGATGTTCCTTTTTATTCTTACTTTGTGAATAGTAATCAGTTCTAGAAAATAATATCTAAAAAATTAAGCTTCAGTTATTGAGAATCATATTACCAATTATTTATGTTTGCCCTGTCTTTGATGATTATTTGCCGCCTAATCGGTGTATAATTAAAGTCGACTTTGAATAATTCTTTCATGATTGCATTCTAATTAGCTTTTTTAATCATATCACGTAATAGGTATATGTATGTGATATAGTGAATGTTTTGTAATTTTTAAATGTTAATTGAATTGCATATGTACAATTAATCACTGCAGTTATGTGTTTCAGACAAATTATAAACCTTTATGACATAGTCTCTAATTGTGTAGGCTGTTGATTACCAAAATGTTCTTGGATAAATTGTAAATACATTACATTGACATGGGAAGAGTATTCTAGTATGATAATATTATTATTAATATGGAAATTAAGTGGATTCACCATCTCATAGATGAATTATCATTCCATTTGTCCTAAGTATACATTGATGATTAAATTGAAAGACAATTAACGATTCCCTGGATGATCAGAGAATCTAGCCCTTGTTAGTCATGCTTGATAACTGCGCTAATAATATTAATAAAATAATTAGGATTTTTAGCAACATCCCAATCGGCAGATATTTGTATTTCTGACGTTTTGTGACTTAGTGCATGTCACTTCTTCAGAGTAAATGAATCAGTAACCGAAACAAATCAACACAAGTTTAAATAGTAAAATGGCAACAAGGTGGCATTCTTTTTATACAATCAAAATCATGATACTATCAAGTTCAACCTTGGTATAGATGCCTTATACTGAAATAAGCACAAACGAAACTAAAACGTGTTAGTAATGAATTAAAGCAGACTCAGATGTTGAAGTAATGAGAACAGTACTTGAAGTTGATAACATATGAACAACTTCAAATAACCTTGATAGATCAGTTAGATTACACTTAACATCATCATGGCAATTATTAATGTATAATGGAATATAAAAAGAAAGTAGTCCATTACTAATGAATTGCTGATACTGATAACTTAAAACCAATCATTGAGTTCATTATTATATCTAGAGATATTTATGACTCTTATAAACACAACAACCACTTTTTTAATCTAGTTGTCCATTGAAATGATCACAACTTAAGCTCCTGATCTATGCATCACAGTGACAGACATATAAATGATCAGGGCCAGTTTAGACATATTTAAAATGAAATGATTAGCGTTCATATCGAAATATGTTAACATCCAAACATGCTTGGACAACTTCAGAAATGTTTGGCTGTCCGAATTTACTTTGAACAATTTACATTCAGAAAAACATTTCTGAAAAAGCTAACCGAATCTCTTCGTTTTTGCGGTAATTTTATGGAAACATTCTCTTTTTTTAATTCTACGCTTTATTTAAATTGTTTTTTCACATCTAATTTGCTCCAATAATATATATATATATATATATATATATATATATATATATATGCTTATAAAACCAGTAACTGTTATTATTCAAACGTTATCTAATTGTTAACTATATTTTATGAAAGGTGTCGCCGACATTGTGTACCTCCGACCCTCCCAAGTTCATACCCTGTGCCTGCGTTACGTTTGTCCGATTCCGAAGCAGTTAAAAAGTGAGCTAAATACTTGTTTGTTACAATTTACTAATAAAATCTACCCTCCTGGCAGAAACTTCCTCAATGAATGCTTATTGTTTAAAACATTTTTTGGAGTAGCCATTATATACGTGTTATAGAGTTGAGTTTTTCAATGAGGCTGAGTTTCAGCTAATATGCCATAGTTTTAGTTTTATGAACATTCTCAAAAAACCAATAAAAATGTGGTTTTAGAAGACGATGGAGAATAATTAGTTTAGAATGAGTTTGTTGGAAATCTTTTATTTTCTGAGATGAATGGTCTTTTTACTAAGCATCTGATTTTCTTCAAAGTACACGCTGATGTTGTCGTTCAGAAAACCAGTAATAGTCTCATTACAAAAATTTATTAGCTTGGAGATCAAAACACTTTTAGAATACTATTTTATTTTTCTTCATTAAGCAGAATAAATTTATCATGGACGACTATAAGTTGAAAACATTTAAACGTGTTATCTAAAGTTTTGTAATGTATTTGACTGAATAAAATGATTATAGCAAACAATAGTGTGACAAAACATATTAGTTGATTCAATGCTGATTATCGATAACGAATAAGCACAACTAATGGAAAATGAATAAGATTTTAATTCCCTGAACCAAAACATCAAGATAACAAAACGGAATGGATCTAAAAACATACTGAACTTGTTCTGACCTGGGCAAGACTAATCTATCAGATTCCATTATTATTAATTCTTAAATGTACAATTATTACCTTCTGACAAGATAAAAATCAGATTATCATAAGTTTTTCAAGTTTGTTATCCTATTTTATTATTTAATGCTTAATAAATCCTTAAAATGAATCATTCTTTGCTAAACCGATAACAAGATATTGCTTCCTCGGTTGGTTGGTTTATGTAGGGTAATTCAATTAGGGGAATATATCATTTTGGAATAGAAGTATTCTCCGACTGAGATTATTACTGTATTCTGTCCACCTCCAGTTACTTTTTATAAACTTCCTTTCAAATGGCAGTTAGTTTTTTATCTTCCACAGTAGGATATTGCTGATAGTATCTGGCCTATGAATTTACAGTACATTAAAATAGACAGTTGTTATGACTTTGGTGGTGCATGGCAGTTATTTTGAGTTTAAAACATTTTCCATACTCTTCTGACACTTAATATCCCCACCCTTATTGTTGTTCCGGTTCTAAGTAGGAGTATCTACCTTCTTCCAACTTCCATATCATAATTCTTCAATACAAAGATGCTTCATCTTCTAGGATAGAGTTTATAGAATTTTCTCTAGTTAGCCTATTTTCAGTGGGTTTTTTTTCATAAGTTAGGAAGTGAAAACTGCGCACTTAATCTTCCTTCTTTATTAAGGCTCTGAAACGTCAGTAACTTCGGAGTTAATTTTCCAAAGTAATTTTAGTCATATTCCATTATCTAAAGATAATTATTTGCTTACATTAGTGATAATCGCATACAAAGTTTATTTAGAAATTTTATCTGATGAAACACTGAACCATAGATTCTAAAGTATAATCATTAATTGTATGGTTGATTTTATTATCAATGATCTAAGTTAGTTTCACAGAAAATAAGTTTACTACATACAAAATGAGACGATATTTGGATTAGATTATGAATGTAAGATATATTTATCACAGCTGTAATTCGAATAGGTGACTCATTTATGAATTTCAAAGAAAAAGAATTTATCATCAGCTAACAGACGATTAGTAAAGATAATAAAATCAAACAAATTTTCATGGTCTTTTTTTTTGAATTCAAGAATTTGTTATGTTCGTCACTGAGTATGCTTGAAACTATTATGGATTCACCTTAGTCGATAAACGAGAAAGAGACAATGAACCAGCGTCCAGGTAGGCGACCTTGATCTGAACGGCTAAATAGAAGTGTTGATATCGCGTAGAACGCATATTCTACAAACACCCAGCAAGCACAATGCAATCAAGCACACAACTCTCGTTTATTTATACATCATAGAAAAGTCCTTGGGACAATCACAAAGATAGCACACTAATTTGACTCAGTAAGCAATCACAGACAAGGATTTTCTTTGTGAGAAATATGATCTCAAGGTCAACTGATCGGCCCATGAAATAAATCTAAAATAAAGATATTTATCAAGCGAGTTCTGGGGATCTAACATCCCCTACAGAATTTCACTAAAATGACGATATCAGAGTTTAAATAATTTATACCAATCATTTACAAATTGTACATTCTATTGCTCATAAAGCAAAAGTAATATATTTTCTAAAGCTTCCATGGAATCATTGTTCAGTTGACTGTATTAGTTATTTTGAGTAGATTCCCTTTTTGTAATTAAATTTCTTTTAAATTAATTACTTCTTAAGAATGAGACATACATTTTAGTTTTTAAAAGAAACCTACAGTTATGATGACAGTATATTTACTAGTCAATACACATTTATGTCGATGTTTCTACTAGAATTCGGATTCTTCATTCATTCCTATAATCAAAAATTGGTCATTGAGAAAGAATACTACGTTCTATAAATGCTATCTTTTTTTGTTTTATTAATAGTTCTGAAATAGTGCAACGTTATGATATACTTGTCTGGTTTGAAATATTAGAATTAAATCGTAATGGCGAGTAAGTTTAAGTTTGTTTTTTTTTGATTGAATTCAGTTGTTATTCTACACGATTTCTGTTATTATTCGATGTAATCACTTCAATCGTAGGAATCAATCCGACGGATTAATTTAGTCAGTAGACTAATTCAAAGAATCTGCTCGTACTAAAAAAATGTATATAGTACTTGATTGAAAATATCATTTCTACTAAATTGTCTTCCATGTATGTTGGATATAATTTAATTATCCTATTATTCAAACATCACATTCAACTATCATTTTAAAAGAAAGTTGCATATTTCTGAAGTTTTTGACTTATAGCACAATTAAAACTTGAATATCAAAGTTGAATTTTTTACGCTAAGATTATGTGAACAATATATTAAGAGATAATTTGAAGATAATATACACAGCAGACTGAGGTCAGGTCAAGAATCAGGGAAAAGTAAACACTTTCCTTCCTTTTAACATAGGAGCTTTCAGCAGTGCGCACTGACGATCATACCTTTAAGCCCCATGACAAAAACATTACTTCTAATCCACAGTGATGAAAATCAATGATGGCCATTTGTTACTTGTCATAACTGTGTGTTACATTATTTACATTGATTCCTACAGGTAATAGCTGTTTCATACCTAATTGTCTAAGTTCCGTTAGTTAGAATTCTTATAATGGCTATGGGAATAATAAATAAAAAAAATATAGTTAGAACTAGTGTATCTAATAGAAGGAAAATATATTTGAAATTAGTGCTTATTCAAGAAGATTAATTTCCTTAACAATCGGACTGATCATTGAACACTGTCTCACTCTCTAAATTGAATGGTGAAATCAATTGTTTAACTTCATCAGAGATATGATTATTTTTTAATGCTATTCTATAAATGAAAAATACAGTATTATATCAGTGTACTTAAGAGGAGAATAATAATTATTATGAATGATACTTGTTTGTAAGAATAATATTATTTTTTCTTGAGAGGTTGGTAGGAAAATGTGAGTAGAATGAACTATTCCGGAAAAGGTTATTCACAGTATTGTAAAAATAAACTCATAAAAAAATCCTATTTTTATGTAATCTATAAAAAGTTCATAAACTTTGCAGACACACCTATCAGTAAAACAAACGTTTCTTAACAGTTATAAAAGTATTAAACGAGATTCAATTACTTCCACTTTCAACAAACACAATCAATTTTGAGTGTTGTTTTTGTGGTATAATTATAACAAGGTCATAGAATATGTCAAATAAACTTTGCTTTAATTTGAACATCTCAAATTTCATTTTCATTAACTTTTGATTGTCATGAAATAATTAATAATAATAAAAATAATTAATAATTACACATTAATAACATTTCATAAATTTCAACCGATCTTTTCCAAATATTTGTAAGAGATATTACTAATAAAAATAAGCATCTAGCCAGCTTTTGTTAAAAGTAATCTGGTCGAAATACCTCAAACTTGCCTGACCTACATTTCTCCGGAAACACTAATTTTAAGCTGTAACATATATACATAAATGGTTCAGTTCGTAAAATGCAAATATATTTGTATGGCTGTTATTTTTTTGTTTTATCTTTAGATACGCACCTGTGCCAGTTGATCGATTAGACGAAACTCCATGTCAGGGCATATTTCTTATTCATCAAGGGATTCAAAGACGTCTAGCAATAACATTGGTACATGAATTTCTTGATCCAATAAAATCTGATAGAATAGACAACCACTTGAATTGTTCCCAGATTTGTCTTTTTCAAGGAGTACATGAAGTAGTTGTTGGTCGAGTACGTGAAAATCCTGAATGGTTGGATTCGGATGAGCATACTCATATCCTGTCACTATCGTTATTGCCCGCTCAACAAATTCACGAAACAAACAGTGATCGGTAAGTGAAAAAAATAGTCTATCGTTGTATCCATTGGTGTGACTGTTTATTGTTTCGCCTAAAAAAGAAATTAAGGTCACAAAATGAATTGTTGTTTGGATGATTAATTAATTTGGTCGTATGTATTTAAGCGGAATAATGAAATCCTTGACAGTTTTCATCGTGTTTTCCTTCCAGCTATAAGAAAGGATTAAATTAGACGGGAATGATCTGGGTGGCTCACATGATGATAGCATTTTAAATGATAATGTTCACTTCATAAAGCTCGTGATAGAATTAACTGATACAATATATTTCAAACTTGTAAACGACTGTTTTGTAAATTGAGCCCTAAGTAAATTGTTTCTTTCTATCTTTTGCAGTATATCGTTTCGATTTGAAGCAGCATGGGATTCATCACTACACGCTTCAAAACTATTAAATAACGTTACACCCAACGGTCAACGTGTCTACATGACAGTATCATCATATCTGAAAGTAGATGGTTGCCGTCGTCCGGTTTGTATGACAAAAGATATTGCAATGATTGTTTTTCCTCGTGAATCTAAATTTCTAGCACCAAGGTAAGAGTCATCTTCCAATGCATTCTTTTATTCCAAATGTCATATAATGGCTGAGAACAAAAACCATCGTAGGAAAAATAGTTGCTCAACGATTATGTAATAATCCATGTAAAATATCATATAAATCTAGCCACCATGTTATCGTGATTTATCCTATTATCGACCTTGGCTTATAATTCACATCAGTTTACACCTTATTTAACTTATGTTGTGTAATATTTCTCGAAAACAGATAATCTCCCGATAATTTTAAATCCTTTCTAATTGAGTGCAGATCCCTTATTCAGATAACAACTAATCTAGTTGATAGTACAATTCAAATCAAATAGTGAGAATAAAGATACAAATATAAAATCGTACTACTGCCAAATCGTTTAAATCAAAGGAAATTTTATGTGATACAATGAGGTGATATCAAAACTCTATGTATTCACAGAAGACGTTACATACATTAGGTGGCGAAATATCAAAAATTCAAATTTTCTAATTAATAATTATATATATACATGTCAAATCTTTGTTTTACCAGAAACAAAATTAGTGTTGACTCACGCATGTAGGACCGAGGACAGGTAATGCTGAGGAGTTCTGTACTAGGACGAAATAGCTGTCCAGCAGCTCTATATTTTTAATGTCAGTCTGAACCAGATCAGTTTCTGATTTCAATATTACTAGAGATTGTCAAGTCAAGTTTTAATGATCATATTTATGCATATTTTAAATGGTTTTATTCTCTAGTGTCAATAATAATTAGTTATAATTGTGAAATCTTGAGAAAGTAAATAAAAAAGTGTCCAAAATTTCCTTTACGTAATATATAAATACAAGAATCTACCAATATAATTAATTTTCAGAGAATATAAATTACATTATAACGAATTTTGACAAAGACATGAACATTCAGCATTATCTCTATTCTAGTGTGTTTATAAAAATAATAAAATAAATAAAAGACATTGGTAAATTTTGGACTATACTTAATTTTCTACTAACATTTTGATGTGAATTGTTACAAAACAGAAGCATACATTGTCGATTGTATTATCTGATAAAATTTATTGACTAAAACCATATAAATAGATTGTCTAAGTAAGACTGAAATCATATGTCTTTACCTATGGTTTGTGTCAGATAGTAAGAAAAATATGTAGATTCTTAGAATCTATTGATGTGATATGACAGATAACTGATAGACATTATTTATAGGTTTATTTAATTTAAACAACATGTGATAAGTGGAAAATAGAGATTTTTTTTCGTTTAGCTCTAGTATAAAATAATTCTTGCTATGCATACATAAACTTGTTAAATAAATCAAGGCAGTTCATGAATTACTGATAACAATGAAGTAGATCACATTAAGGTGTAATGAATTACTTTAAATTATTTATTTCTGTCTACTACATGAACAATGTTGATCATGTGGGATCAAACAACATTGCGCGTTGCTTTCATGATAACTTATTCTAATGTCGAAAGGAAGTGTTCACTAAATTATGAGCTTAGTTGTTTGAAGGTTTGCACATTATAGCTTTCTATACAGGAATAGCTAAATAAGTAGGTATACATGGATGTGATACAACTTGGTAACTTAACCTTTAGTTGTGAAATCGACTTGAAAACGACAAATAGAGGTTTAAAATCAATCTTTGTTCACTCTAATTCATTCCGCCATCAAAGTTAATTACTTCACATTATATCGTACCTCATTGTTAGACATTATTACATAAATAGTTGTTGTAAGCAGCTGATGAAAAACCACGAAATACAACTGTATCATATTATTCTGCTTAAATTGTTGTTTTGACTTTACTTAGATCCTAATATGATTCGGGATGATAAGAGTTTGGTCATGTTAACTCATGACTAACCACTACCCAACCAGATGTTAATCAAAAAATTTAGTACTACTTTTCTACATCGTAAACAATGACATTGACAAAAAGCTAAAATCATTAATATGGGAAAGACAAGCTATTGTTGGCTTACTGTCTGTTCAGTCAATCAGTGTACATGATTAGTTTATACATTATTTGATAATGTATACTGGGTATATTCCTATTTTTCGTTTGAATATTTTTTATACTGTTCTTCAGTCCACGTCTTTCACCAAATCCTACTCGTGCTATACTTAGGTCTTTATGGTCGATTTGGAACGCATTTTCCAGAAGCGCAGAAGCAAATCATGTAACCGCTGTTTATGATTTACAACTTGGACATACTTCTTCAAAAAGTAAGTGAAAAAATTACATTTGCTTTCATTGAGGAAACTAATGACATACCGAAAAAAAATCATAGAATTGTAAATTTATGTAAGTACTGAATCCAAACTCGATCCTGATTATGTTTCCTGAGAACACACAACTTCTGAAGTGTGTAAAGTGCATCAGTGAGAAGATGGTTCTGTTCTGAGTATAATTCATTGTTACTATTATTCAACGAGCTTATATTTTTCAAATAAACGGTGTCTGAAGTTTTAAGGCCATCACCATTATAGTGACTGAAGCACATAAGCGTGGTTTTTCTGTAAATTTTTCTCATTACATGTAAGTGACAGATATAGTTTGGGCTTTTTGATGTCATCTACTTTCAAATTAACAATAAAATTGTGCTAATAGGGTTTTTCCGAAAGTTTCATAATTGACAATAAATATGAAAAAATTAAACCTTATAGTTTTAACGAATATTAGCACTGTTTAACTGGGAGCGATTTCCATATTCAATGGGTTTTTTGACGAAATTTCATCTTTTTTGCTGAATAGTACTATGGGCATCAGAGAATTCTTAGTTACAAGTCAATAATAACAAATCTTGATCAAAGTCAAGTGGACAAGTTAACAGTAGTTTATGGAGAAATTCCGATACCTTTATTTCCATCCGATGTTTATACTGACAGTATTTTTCAGAAGACAAATCAAACTGCATGATTAAAATATACTGACCATAGGACAAAACTCCACCAAAATCATCCACCTAACTTGCAAAACTTTTTCTCCACTAGCGGAGTCTTGTTACGGAATTTCTTGATGCATACGTCAAATGATCCTTCATGAGAAATAGTGCTTAGGAACTTCAGAGCTAGTGGCAAGCAAAATAATATTACTCTATGGATTTTGAATCCAGTGATTTATGTATTTTATATTCAATCGAGTAACGGTTTCAGATTATCATTTCCAGTGTTTATCTTTAACCTAATACGAAACGCCTGACTCAAGTGAACGTGCCCATTTCAAAACTGTTCAATACATAGATGACAACTGTAATTGAAGTAAATAGTTTAAGATGGATTTTAGATTACAAGACTGAAGGTAAAATGGTGAAGACTGGCTTTCGACTTCATCAAAATGACTTATTGTTCGCTTTAACCACTGAAAATTATCTCACATAAGATCCTAATCGATACTACCGGAAAGTGAAAAAAACTGGAGTATAAACATCCTAAATGGTTCCTAGTTTTCCGTCAGCCTCTATAGAATATCACTTCGCAACTAGGACTACCTTTAAATTAGATGGATAGATTACTTTTCTACTCAAGATTTCTCCAATACTAATTGTGTTTTTCAGAGCCATGCTGGGCGGAATGTTATGATTGGAAACAAAATCGACTTGTCAATACAGTACTTAGTACTTAATAAACTGACCTAAAGGCTCTTGCTATCCTGAACAGATATACTTACTGCTATTAAAACCATCGCACATCAATCAACAAAGCTTTCATTAGATACCTATTTCATCTTCTCTCTAATCAATAAAGCCTAAAGGTGTGTGTTTTCATTATACGCTATATGAAACATGCGAAACTCCCCAGATTTAGTTGTTTTACCAAATAATTCTAAGAGTCTTTAGTTCAATAGATATAAACCTGTTCCTCATTAGGCTCTGTGTGATGAAACTGCTAGCAATAGGGCTAGTTAATTGAAAAAATGAGTATTTTATCTATTAAGAGTAGTGCAATGATGCTCAAGAAATCATAGTCAATGACTCCTGTAGTGAATGATAATATACGTGGATGAAATATAACTAAAACAATTGTTGTTTTTAGACGCATTTAATATTTGTCTGTCAGTTATGAAAATAACACAACTATTCAGACATTCATAACACATGTAACTCATGAGTAAATAATTCCAGGAAAAAAAACATGACTATCTGATTAATAAATACAAATTAAGTATATTTTCAAAGGATATTACCAGCTTGTAAAAGACTAGGTATTAGTTGTCTGACATTTAGAAAACACTTTTACCTTACAACATACTCTAATATATATATATATATATATATATATATATATATAGTGATAAAGACTGAATTCTACACCTGTATACCATAAATAGATCAGTGCTAGAAAAACAGGTCTGTAGAATCGTAAACAAAAATATAATTTTAATTACATTTACAGGTTCTGTAACAGGTTGAAACAAATGTATATCTTGAAAAATTATCATTAATCAAGAAATTTATTTGGTATTAGGATATTAAATAATTTGTTCGTTTGATGGGCTTTAAATTTGAGTAATAGGTATATTGCGTAATATCAAGATTTCCAGTATACTAAAATCAATAACAATAGATGTAATCTCCAAATGGAAAGATTAATTAAACTAATAATAAAACGACTAACTCTGTTAATTAAGACCATATTCAATGACAATGAACATGAAAGTAAGTATTCACTAATTAAAGCTACAAGTAGAATAAATGCTCATAATGAATATAAAACTTCACAATTACTTCTTAACATGTTTAAAACAATGTTAAGTAGGCATATTTCGTGATTAGCAAGAGCGTAGATAAATTTCCAAATCACGAAATAGTATGCTTAAGAGCAAGAGTAATCAAGTACCTCTTGAATGAGTTTCCCTCGTATTAATTTCATCTAATTGATAAAAAATACCAATGGTCTATACTTTTCTGAAAATCATTATCGTTATAATTTTTAGTACTCAAAATCGTTTAGATTTAACCCTCAGACAAAGGTAATATAAGAGATTTTATCTAACTGAACCACTTATTAGACAGAATAAATGAGACCTTGACACTCCTCAGTCTACAAAGCCAGTCGTATGATGATGCGGTGAAAGGATGTCGAAAATGGATGACAAACATGTGGAGAACCGTTTCCCTTTAATTTCTAAAGAATTGATGTATTCTTAGACTTAGTCATTTAGTGAATTAAAGATTTATCATCTGAAGCGAAATGCCTAGGCTTCTTGTCTCTGTGTGAACATGAAAAGCTGGTCTAAACAAGGATGAACCTCATGTCCTTAATTTTACTGGTAGCTACAAACACGTTTATAATAATCGTATTGTAAAATGAAAAAGATTGATTTTCCTAAAATTTATTTCCTATTTAAATTACGCACTTTTTCAACATAATAATACTGATGATATTTTCATTTTGTGTTGTTTTGATATGTTTAGTCATAATGAACTTTGTAAATTATCGATCTGATATATTCAATGTACATAGTATATACGGAAAGTTACATACTTTTTACATCAATAACTACAAAGTAAATTCAATTAACCACAATAGAAGTAAAATGCTTTCCAACTATTGATCAGATCCATGCTTCATATACAATCGTTATTTCTTTTTATTGTATACCACTTTACCTGTATATCGTCGTCATATATGTGTATCTTGAATTTCAACAATTGATTTTTATTTATTAGGTAAAAATATCTATAATAAATCAATCATGGACACTAGTCTTACATATGTTCGAGGTGAGGAAAATATAAAAGGTTGGAGACCAAGAGGAGATTCTTTAATTATTGAACATCAATGGGAATTGGAACGTTTTCATCGTATATCAATGGTAAGTTGAACAATTATATATTTACACATATATCGGTGAAAATAGAATAAAGGAAATCGAGCATATTGATTATCTATACTTAATATTTGGAAGGTGGATGCATATTCATGGAAGAAACGTTTAATCTTATCAATTCATATATGTACGTACATTTAGAAGTTGAGTTATCCGGGAGATAACAGAGCTAGGATAAGTATTACCTACTACAACTTGTATGAAACTTAGTTAGTTAGGATCTATTCAAGTATTAAAAGTTGAACTTACTCAAGGATCGTTTTAAAAGTTCACAGTTTCAACTAAAGTTGTTCTATTTGGTCATGAACGTGCTAGGATGATTATAGATTAATTCGATTTTTGGCAATCGCAAATGCTTTCTATCCGACTTAATTTTTTTGCATGACCTTTTTTCTGTTACGATTAGTCTCTAACACTTTCAGTTGGCTTTATTTTCGTGTACTTAAAAACCATGTTATAGTTACTATATCCACTAATTTGTACGATCTGGATTTGTTTCTAAACTTCGTTTGCATCTTGTATTAGCGGCCAGTTGTTCAAATGTTGTGTCGGATAAACAGTCTGTTTTATTTTATATTTGTTTTCGTCCTTATAAGATTCTCAACTATTCGCGTACAGAAATCAGCATAGGACATTTCAGTAAACTAACTGTTATTTCAGCGTATTAAAAATAGAAACAATGAGGTAGAGATTCAAAAAGCCTTGCTTTATTGACAGTAGAACTGTGTGAAAATAAGTTCAGACATATTTTTATCAGTCAAATGTTTCCATACTTCCATGAAAATGTTTTGATTTATTCATTTAATAAAATCAGACAGAATTTGAATCATTGGAATGATTTGTTCATGATAAATGTTTGTTCATGTAATAAATATTCCATTTTTCCTTAATGATATTTCTGTCTATAAGATAGTTACAGTGAATAGGAAATGAATTCAGTTTGTCTGTTAATGATCACATTAGTAATTATTTTTCTATTGATAGGTGGAGAAAACCAGACAAATGTTGAAACTTCGTGAACTTTTAGGAAATGCACAGAAACTAATCTCAAGTCGTTATTGCCGTTCGGATACAATCAAAGCAAAAGTATCGGATAGCTCTAATTCTTTAAGACTTTCAGAAAAATCATCACCCCCTAATAATAAAAAGTAGGTTTTTTTGTATAATAAAACTACTGAAGTTTTAATTTACTTAAAATATTTTATACAATCGAAATAATTTATGAAATGTTATTGACTTTATTAGTTTACATTACCAGGCTAGTATTAGCTAGACAATCGCTGAAAACTGGTAAGTACTGGAGGTCAATTTCATCTTAGTGTGGTACGTCTTAAAAGTGTTCCATAATCTCAACCACTAAAGAATAATCTCGGCATATCCAGGTCTTTCAGCATGCGCTTAACATTTAGACCACCAGGACAGTATCATTGAAATGGGCTACATTTATAGACGGTCAAATTTATAATTACGCCAGGCAACTTTGATGACACGTACACTTTAAATAAAGTTTATGAGGAAGAAATATTCCTTATATGTCAGTTTGATTTAGATTTCAGTCCAAAAATTGTAATCGATTCATTTTAATCGACTTCTTCATACATTTTTGGCTGTGCTTTTGGTAATTTTTTGAGTCTGTTACATAAAGTAACCGCATGAGCACTAGTGTACGTCGAAGTAACCGAATCTACGAAGTTTAAGAAATTATAAATAACCTAACCACAGGAATGCCTTAGTTCTTGAACTTCAATGGAATCCTATTATCTCCACAACCTTATAAGAACATTTCTCATGTGCTGACTTTTGACCAGCTTCGTGAGAAAATTATCGAAGTTCTGGTGAGTTGTGATCAGTGGAGTTCAACCCGGTTGCATGTGAGGCAGTTACCCACTGAAGGCAATAGATAAGGTTGCGCAATTGACTGAAATTAGACATTAACACTGTTGGATTCAGGTTCATTGGTGCGTGACTGTAGGTTTTGGGTTCGATCCCTACTTGTTCGGTCGTGAATGCACAATATTAGAGTCCCAATATTAGGACGAAACGCCCCTTCAGTGATTCTAGGCTTCATTGATAGAATAATGAATAAGTCTCATACTTAGAGAAAAGGAATGATCTTTTCTGACTACCACTAAAATCAGAGGAAACACTGGACAGCCATTTCGTCTTAGTATATGACTTATCAAAAGTGAGCATCCACACTCCACAAGAGAAGATAAAGACAAATAACTGAGAATCAAAGACAAGTAGTTAACTCTTGAACCGCTAAGCCTGAATTCAATGACAATGTATTCAAAGGCAAGGTCGAATCCCTTGTTTTCGAACGCTTGCGGTGAGTTTGTAGATAGTTACTATTGAAGAGTTAGATGGTGAGGCAAAATAGCTGTCTTGTTCTTCCTGATTCTCAATGGTTCTTGAACTAAGTTCATTCTGTGATCATTAACTGTAAAAATTGAAAAATAAACCTATACAAAACCCCTATTTTAACTGAATAAGTTATTCAATAGTCTAAATTCAATGATCAAATTACTTGTGAATTTATTTGAAGTTGCTTACGTAATATATCAATGTTTACTAACAACGGTGTATATTTACATATCAAAACATTTCACAGATTCCAATAAAATATCTGTGTAAATACAAATCAACCGTAGTAAATATAGGGAAATACGGTAATGATATTTTCGCCTCACAGTTATGACAATATAAATACACAAATTTTCAAACTAAATGGAATATTGAATTACAACTCATGTTAAGGAATCTAGTATAAATCTAGAGAAAAATTATTTTATTTTGATCTTATGGGCAATTGACTTGTGAAGAAAGTTATAGATAATAGTTAGTGAATGTTAATATCATAATTCACTTTTTTTCATTATAGACATGAAGTAGTGTTTTTCTGGTTGTTATAAGTGAAACAATATATACATAATCAAGTTATAAACATGTCAAAAACTCTTCAATAAATGATTTATTTTAGTAACTTAGCAACACTTAAATTCAATATGAAGAAATTAAGAGTACTTTAGACAAATGGAATATCCATTAATTACAGATACGCTAAAATTTAGATTAGTTTTCATTGATAATCAGATCCGGATAATAGTGAAAACATGTTAAACAGTTAGTCAGATATATCTGTTTTATAATTTATAATTAATAAAAATATACTTCAAATGAGACTTTATAATTTCGGTTAAGAATTAAGAATAAAGAATTCAATAATTATAAAAATTTGAATTTATATGGCGGATTTAAGAAATAAATCATATTTATTAGTTTTCTAAAGTTTACGCCACAGGTTAGATTTGGACAAAAACTAAGAAGCATTGGTAAGATGCTTTATTTTATTCCGAAATCACTGAGTGCCTGTATCCCTGTCAAGGTGAAGGTATTTACTTCTTGAGTCGAGCTTATTGAACCAAAGTCGATTGGTTTGAAGTTCAAAGGTTCAATAAATCTTTATGAGCGTAATCAATAATGAGTTTATTGTTCTTAGCAAGAGGATATGTGTATGATGCTATGGTGTTCCTCGTCATTTTTATGGTTATCTTGTTAAAGTCATTCACTTTTGTAATTTAGAATTAAACTAAGCAATCCTATGTGCTCTACAATCTCGACATTAACTTTTTTAATCAATCAATTAATACAGTCAACTGACTAAATGTTAAGTATTAATTTTATGTACTGCTATTTCAAAAAAATTACAATCAAATCCTTTTCAGTCTATATTTATCTCGCGTGTTGCTACTACATACAAAAGCCTATCATAACTATTATACTTACCTTAGTAAAACGTCATCTATGGCGTTCCAAGAAAGTTGGCATGGCTCTCAACAACTATTCATTTGCATTACGGGTTTGTGAAGATTGTTAAGTTACACATTTTTTGAAACCATGAATCGATCAATGTTAGACCACCATTAGAAACCTGGAAACACTGGATGGTTTCAAAAATGTGTAACTTAACAATCTTCACAACCCCGAAATGCAAATTACCTGTGCTCACTAGTGACTAGCTTCGTGAGGAATCTTCTCCGAGTTCTAGTGGGAAGACGTGACCAGTGAAGTTCAACCTGTTCGGGTGTAGACAGTAACTACCGAAGACTGTGTATGAGGTTGCGCAACTCCGTGAATTGATCAAGTTAGACATTAACACCGTTAGATTCCGGCTCAGTGGTCCTGGATCCGAATCCTGCGGGGTGCGGGAGTCGTGGATGCGCACTGCTGAGGAGTTCCATACCACGACGAAACGGCCGTCCAGTGCTTCCAGGTTTCTAATGGTGGTCTAACATTAATCGATTCATGATTTCAAAAAAACTACTCATTTGTATTTAATTGCATTTCTCTAATAGATCAATCACAGTTGCTTATTGAATGATACCTACACATATACTGTTTCAACGGTGTCTTTTTAAAAAATTCATAGATGTACATTAAAACTAATGCAAACTGGAACTACATATTTTCTGCTCTTGTTATTGATGGATAAACAAGTTTCATATTTTGTCAATCCAGTTATCGAAACATATAAAAAGATATTTATATTCTGCAACAGTGAAACTGCCTTAAAACTCATGCACATTGCTTTTAATATTCCACGAAAAATTAAATTTACATTTCTATGTACTGTACACGTAATCACACTCCTTTTCATAACCGTTAGAGTAGCAATATCTCTTGAGTGCCATAAACATATACCTACAATACTTATGTGGTTCCTGCCTTCTATAAAAGAAGTATTCAGTAAAACATGAAATAAACAAGCGTGAATCGATAAATAAATGCTCTCTGTTGACAGGTCAATTCTATTGGAATGTTTTGCTGACTTGATAAACTTCGCATACAACATTTAGATCATAAAAATATCAGGAAAAAGAAATGCTTTGAAGCTTTATTTTCAATGTGATTATGAAGTCAGAGCTTCTTAAACAGGGAATCATGAATTCACCATTTTCTCTTTGATATCGACTGATAAGAGTTCAGAAAAATAAGCGTATTGTAGCTGAATATGATTTCGAAAATAAAGATTTCACTTAATAAAATATTGTGCGGCTGAAACTACTAGTTCGGTTGTTTCAACAAACACGATCATAGACAACCTCTGTCTCTCACGATTTAATCTAAATAGAGGACGATGATAAAACAGCTTTGGTAAGTAGTATTACAAGCACTGATTTTTACACTTTGTATTCATTATGAGATAAAATTACTAGTGAATCCAGGTTTCATTAAATATTCGATAAATTTTATTTACTTTTTATATGAAATCTAAAACAGTATTTCTCCAGCAAGACCAACTACACTTGATTTAACAAATATAAAGAAGAATGGTACAAATAACAACGATTTGAGAAATGTATCAACTACTGAACAAAATTCGAAACCTACTAGTGAAAATAGTCTAACAAGTAACGACGTTGAAATGTCCAAGAATCAGTTACTCATTAAATGTTTAACAGCTTTAACTAATTATATGCCTATCAGTAAATATTTATCTCGACACTTTGGGATTACAGTAAGTTCTATGGTTGTAAATAACTCATGCCATTTTGTTAGCTAATCTTTGCTTAATTAATCTAGTTAAGTTACTGACTTTGTATTTAAGCTAATTATTTACAGACATTTGTTATATATATATATATATATATATATATATATATATATCAGAATAAGACACTTACTAGTTTGATGAGATGATCAACTGACTGATTACAGTCAGTCACGTAATGATTGACAATCCAGACAATAGTTTATACTTTGTATAATAACTGTATAATATCTGCCTTTTAAAAAATGTGGGTGTGTGTGTTTATGATCTAGCCAAATGAATGAAATAATTTGTTATTTTCATGTAAACAATTAGCTATTGATAAGTCTACTTTAATGCGAACAATCTTTATTTAGTTTGATGAAAATCCTAAATTATAGCAATGAACTATCTGTATTATTAGTTTCGAAACAATGCAAACGATTTTTATTTCCTCTATGAGTGAAAATTTGTCATTTTAGACTTAAATGATATAGAACCTTTTAAACATAACCAAATCACACAAGTGAAATGCTTTCAAAATTTTTTATTGATTGATCATGGAAATTTGGGTTTTACTCAGTATATTAGATGACTTTAAACATATCTATGATAATTTATGACAACAATTAATGATCCCTAAATCGTTTCATTCAGTAGGTAGGTATTAAAAAATTTACTAAACAGGGGAAAAAATCGTAAGAGAATTACTTTTATCCAATAAACCATTTAGTGTGATTTCATATAATGTATTATAAAACGTATTTAGGCACGTACATCTCATAAATCGTAGAACAATCTTATATCAGAAAAAAATTTAATTGAATTATTTTATCAGAATAAGCACAAAGAAACAAATAAATTACATCATTATATGCTTGAGGTGATTTAATTTAATTGTGCTGAATAAAATTAAAATGGAAATATGTAAAATGAAAGTCAGTTCAACAATGTTTTGAATAAACTCCGAATTCTTTAGTTATTTAACGAATTTGTAACTACATTAATTGTCATATATTTAGGTTTGACAATGGTTGTTCAATTATCAATTATTAAGATTCAGATTTAGGCAGGTACTGATTATTGATTTCCTCCTTTTGAGTATATTTAAATAACCCGACCGTAGCTGCTACCTTGACTTGGTGGTCGGGCTTGCCTATAGTGATGATCCAGCGGAGCGGTATGGTAACCTTCACTGATGTACTCACGTACGATGTTCTGCATTGTAACTGATAGATAGACTTAAATAACAGACATCTAAAGTGAAAACATAAAGCTTAAATCATTTATTTTAATCTTCTGTATAATAAATCATGTTTATTAAGTAACTTACACTTCCTTTTTTAAGTGCATACAACAAAAGAATTCACAGTCCATGATGAAAATGAATTTCAACTAATAAATGGCTTTTTTGTCTTCTATAACTGATAATTTCTAAATGTTTTTCTCTGTTCTTTTTTATTCTTCTTAATAAATTAGACGAAACAACCTTATCTATTTGAATCAATTACTAGTAACAATTCAACATCGAGTGTATCAAAATCCGATAGTGATTTTCATTCGGATGATGTTAGAATTAATACACGAATGGATATCACAAATAGTGTCTATTCTGATGAAGCTGCTGAAGTGAACTTTAGATCATTCAGTAAGTATTCCATGTTGATTGTATATAGTTCATTGATTTCAGTTCAATATTTATTATGTATTATTATTAAGTGAAGTTATTAAAAACAAAATATCTTTGTTTCTTGATGAAAACTATGCTCCTTTGAAAACAATCTTCACTTCCTGATTAACTACATAATGATCACTTAGCCATTAAAAACTAATTTGGCTATAGAAGACTGTAGGTTTAATGAGGCGTTATGACTGATATTTATTGCAAAATATTGGAAGTAAGACATTTAAAGAAAACTGTTTATAATTTGTTTCTTGACTGAATTTTGGCATTGTTAAGCATTTAGTAACAGCTCAAAGACCAAAACGTCATAGCCCCTGCCTTGAAGTATGAATTTTATCTACACGATCACTGATAATATCGTAAGTATCCACTACCAATATGTTTCGCAATAAGAGGAAACAGATATCCAGTCTACCACAGTTTTCATTAGTTCTGATATTGATTACCAGAATCAGATTAACATACTCTTTATATCGAAGTACTTTCCAACTTATCTCAAACCATTTATCTTTGTTTACACTTCAAAATTCTGTACATTCTGCTGAAATTTATACAGAAAATTTCCTCGGGATTTGATTGTTTCCCTAACCTATTATTTAGTAACTAAGCTAGTATTGTTTTTAAGTTATCACTGTCAGCAGGATCCATTTGTCTTAGTTACCAATTCACATTAGTCGAATTATTCTACTCTATGCACACTGTTTGCTTGTTACTATTGAAAGTTTGTTCGATTAATTATCAAAATATATCACATTCGACCTATGAATTTCTTGTATAGATTGATTACTTGCGGTGTATTTAATAAAGTGGTGATAAATGTTTAGGGAAGATAACCTACTTTGTTTCATGAATTCCATTTTGGCTACATTGTTAACATTTGATAATAAAGTTTTACTGGTGGAAATTTAAAATGATACATTGATGGTTATTGATTGAAAATTAAATGCATCGTCGAGATATATATATATATATAATACTAATTAGTAATAGATATCTTTTTATAATACTTTCATACCGGAATAAATTTTTTTATATAAATATAAATGGTATGAAATAAAACCAGAATACAAGCCATCTGATTAACAGAAAACTGAAATTATTGTTACTTGTAATATTTTAGGATAGTTTTCTCTTTCCAACGAATAGAACCAATAAAAATACCTTGGAAACTATGGACAGCTTTATGAACAATCTTTTGTTTTCCAAAGTAGTGATCTCTCATGACCCTATCAAAAAATTGCACTTACGCCACTCAGCTTGTGTGACGGACGCATTTCCTCTAGATCACTGAATGAGAACTTGAATATTTGCGTTTCGAACTTTGATATGTACCGTCACACATACATTGTATGTCATCGGCTGGTAAATGTCTAGCAGTTAGACTAGCTGTATTCTGACGATTAATATGTTTGACGTAAATATCAGAAACCTGCTTCTAAGTCAATAGATCATTGTTATCGTCTTATTATAGGGATTATGGAGATTCATTCAACTCGAACGAATTTTTCTTTGAGTGAGTATCAATTGGAGAAGAATTTGGAACGAGGAGTCATATGAGTGCTTTATATTTTAAAACAGTCACTTAAACCAATTAACAGTTCATTAGTCTTCAAAATGAAAAAAATATTTAACACGTTGTCAGATTAATGTTAAAAATGTAGATACACATATTTAACTGCTGTTTAGGTTGTCGTCTCAGATTAGGCAGACATTTCATCATCAATGAATTGTAACTTAATTTTCAAAAATTCATTCTTGCATAAATATCAAGTGTATAAAAAGAATTGGTTTAACAGTCTTATAATTTAATAAAAGTATACCTTAAAATAGTCGATTTTCAAAATACAATCACGTTACATTTGTGTGAATTAAATCCACAAGAAAAAAAAGAAAATGTTGGTCACTTTTATGAAAAATTTCATTCTGGACCATCAAACTAACAGATATAAATTAGACATGCTTGACTACCTAGTACGATTTCTTTTCTAATTTAAATAAATTTACGAAAGAAAAGCTAAACACTAATTTTTATATACACTTAACTGTTGTAGCTATTGAAAAAATTAATTATGCTTGTATCACGATTAATGAATGTCATTTCATAAGTATTCATGTATTGTGGAGTCCATAAGAAAAACTAACGTTGATTACAGCAGTGTTACTTCAATTACTATCATCAATAAAATATGCATGTCATCCTCTGTATATCTTTACAGATGAAGACATTTCCTTTTATTTAGGTTGGATGGCGGAAGTGAACAGAAAACGCTGCTCAGTCTAGGTTTCCAGTTATTTGGTACTTGTCAACAACACGCACCTGTAATCCTGTGAAAATTTATACTTCCTAGTGGACTCGATATTGCATCACATAGCTTCATGGTCAAAGCAGTTAAGGTTGAGCTATTAAAACCCCAACTGTCCCGCTATGTCAGGATTATCTAAAGTGAAACAAAGTAGTAGCTTAAGTCACAGTCTTTTTTAACTCTATAAACAAAAGTTGAGTTGTTGAGGACCATTCCTACTCAATGTTTTACTTAGTGCTATGTCGACTGAAAATCTTTCCATTATTATGTGAGTAGCTTTATCAGTAAAATATGAATTATCGCTTACAATCAATTTTCAAATCCTTGAAAATGCTAAACTGTAACTTCTTTGAATCTCCTTAGGAAGAATTTAGATTACTTATTAGGTTCAGTTTTAGGAATAGCGATTGTATCTCTAAATTTACTGAATTTATTTGGCTAAGTAATTTACATAAGAAGAAAGATGATAGGTAAGGCCAATAGAATATTAGCAGAGGTAGACAATAGCTAGCAGTGGAATCCAGGACGAGTGTTTCGTGCTATTTATGACTCGCCAGCTGGATGTACCTGTATCTTAGAGCTGATGTTCTCCCCGAGACTCCAACACCGTCACCTTATCCATTTATCTACTGAGTCCAGAGAGTCACCCGATTGTGCAACTTTACTGCTTGTTTGAATCTCTCCATTGATGTTTAGGGTTGAAATTGATCGGTCACTTTGGCATATGTAGTCTTTAAAATATATAAATACTAGATTTTCCTCTGAGGATCAGGAGAAATGATTTTTTTCGGAAAGTTTAGTCAAATTACGAGTCAAATATTTAAAGTAAATTGAAATATACACATGTGAGTATAATCAGTTCATTTGTTATTACAAAGAAATAATAAATCATTTTACTAACGTGTACGATAAATCGCCTGAACTGATGTAAGCAGTACGTTAGGGAGACAATTACTCACTTAAACCATGCAGTGTGCCGGCAATAGGATACAAAAGCACCAGATGAATGGGGCAAGTCTGTAAGTATAGTTGATATAATATTTGACTCAAAAATAAGGCGAATGAAATACCACTTCAGAGAAAGATAATTGTAAGATATAAGTACTGTAGGCCATTCACAGGTCTACAGAATTAAGATTCTTTAATCAAACCTTTTTATTGCCTGGCAAGTCAACAAAAGTAAACTATCTCTACAGGACTAAATATTTAAAACAAATTCATTATAAACTACTTCTCTCAATTATTAATTTTCACAAAATATCATACAAATTGTTATATAATTGTGTATAACGTAATACACAATAAAGGCAAGCTTTCAGTATGTCTAATTTGTTGATTATAACAGGTTCTGGTATACCTAGATCGGTTACAACTGATTCAATACAAAATATACTCAATGGAGAAAGCTACTTCTCATCAAATTATTTAGTTGGTGAATGTGATGAGGTTAGTCAGATGTATAACTACATTTTATTCAAAATACTTTTTAAAACAAAAAATGTTTTAAAATGTTTAAATAAATTTGTTATATATTAGTATGTTCTTGTCAATTTCTTGACCTTTGTATTAACTTCATCACTTCGGTCTTCTAAATACTGAAAACAAGTATGTTCATTTTTAAAAACACAACTGTATTAAAATTAACAACGGTCCAACTCTCGAAAAGCTAATGACCTTAGATATCCACTAGTCTTGAAGTTAAATATTAAAAATATAACCCGTAAATGATTAATGACGCTAGATAACTTGAAACAACCTTGTGACAGTGTTAGTGCCTTGACATCGTGAAACAGCTTAATGATTTAATATGTTGTGTTGGTGTATCTGGCTGCCATAGATGTCTTTTTTTCCGTGAACCAATGAAGAAAAACATGAAGATAATAGAAAAGACTTCTAAATATTAAAGTTTAATCAACTGGTACATGAATAAATACATGAACAACCAGTCCGTAATGCATCATAAGTAAGAAAATTCAGTGTGTACTGTAATTGATACTAGGCTTATAAATGAATGACAATAATCGAGAAACAGAAGTAGATAAAACAACGGTTGAGAAATCAAACAAATGCTTGTGAAATGTGTTTGTATACATATGTATATGCTTGCAAAACATAAAAAATGTTAATAGTTACACAGTGAAAAGTGGCCGTAATAATATTCCAAAAAAAGCCTTAAACAGTCTTTTATTTTTAAGTATTCTTACCTTCATAGCAAGAGCATTGATAAATCATGCTTTTTTGATGAGGGCTCGTGTGGATTATTCACATTTGATATGCAATCAATAGTCATCGGCTTTATTTATTTTCTTCAGTTCTAGAACGAAGTCACACAATTTGGAGTGAAGTTATGTGATGGTTAAATAGATATTACAGATTTTATATGGTATAATGTGGGTAATGTGGCCTAGATATTAAGCTTATTACCAGAATTCAATGTTTACATGATACCCTTGGCAAATATCTTGCCACGGTAGTCGAACAGTTTATAATTCAATAATAAAATGCCCAAATTACGTTTATATTGTATTTACTGCTTAATAGTACTTCATGTTATTGAAAGAGTTTCACTCATCTCAGGTCAATAGCTTTTAAATGAAAGCTTTCCACATAAACACGATTTCATTGAAATATGTTTCTTATGAGTTTGGAAGATGAAAATTGAAAGTCTTAATGAAGTCATAGTGAACTTAACATGAGCAAATATAAATACTTATGAGAAATATAGGGTAACATCAGCGTGATAACTATAAATGAATTAAATATGTATTACATAGTTTTTAAAGCGATACGTTGACTGATTTTTAATCGAATTTATAATATAATACTAATAATAATAATAATACTTATCTCTTTCCATTTTTATGTTTTTAGGTTCGTGTTAGCCCAGTGACTAGTCGTAAAGGATATTTATTAGTCTTAGAGGAAAGAACAGCTGGCTGGTTACGTAGATGGGCTGTTGTTCGTAGACCTTTCCTATATTTATATAATCATGAAAGGGATTTCATTGAAAGAGGTCTTATAAATTTAACTACTTCACAGATAGAATATGAGTAAGTTATGGAATACAAAACAGTTTTTACGTAAGTTATTCCTGTTGACAGGAAAAAAGGTTAAATAATCTTCAGATCAGTAAAAATAGCTTAAAATCAGACGATCCTACTCAATTTATGCGGTAGGAAGATCGGAAAGAGCGACAATTGTTTATTTACTCCGACCTGTGGGGTTACCTAACAGAATAACATGCTTCATCACTGAAAGCCGCTTTCTATTTAGTTTCTGTGTACTTATCAACCATTTAAGAATATAGGTGACTTGCTTTGACGATATTGATATTCACATAAAAAGACGATTGAGAACTTAGCCATCATTATCGGTAAAAAAATTATATTTTAGTAATCCAGACAATCAAATAACCGTCAATTGACATTCCTCATTGTAATATTTAGTTATTAATGTTGAATACTCTAAGACAGAATGAATTTTCTCAAAATTATAGACACCCTAATTCATAGCTTACTACGAGGCATAAAACATACAATAGGCATCTCACATCTAGGTAATAGTTCAGGCTCAGTAAGTTTTTAGTTGATTTTAACATACTATAAGTTTGATAAATTATTCATGTGAAACAATTCTTGTTAAATGACAAACAAACCATTATCCAAAGACTTAATACATCATTTACTGAGGGAATAAAATAACAGTTTACGCTTCAGGACAATTCGACATTTCTAATTCAAATAAAAGTTTCTTTATACTAACTATTACAATTTAAAATGATTAGTAGTTATAAGTTAAATAGATTTCATATCATGATTTCAACTTACAGGATACCATAATAACAGATTTTAGTAAAACGTTTTATTGTTAGATAATGAAAATTCACAATCACAATTAATTCAAACCATTCACCATATAAAATTGCAAAACTGTTCTCATTATAGATTAGTTATATGTACTAATCAAAGAAAGAAGTACATGTTTAGAAACAGAAAAAGTATTTGCAAGGTCATGATGATCAGTTGATCAATATTTTGAAGGATGATATCCAAATGAAATTTAAGCACTTCTAAATGCTTTCCGTAAAATGAAACATAGTTATTCTGCCTAATGGGGAATTTTTACAATTTCTTTATTTATACGAGGGATATATCGGTTCACTATTTAATGAAAATATATCAGGATATATAAACCGACATTTCAGTGAACTTCAATCTAATTTAATGAACTTAGCAAACATTAAAGAAGGTAGTTTGTTAAATGAGAACCGAAAGGTGTGCCTTTTCGTCGACATATTGCTTAATTAAAATATCTTTCCCCTTTCACAAATGTTTATTACGTAGATTAAGTTTAAACAATCAAAGAGGAATAAAGATATGATAAAAAGAGTTCCCAAAATACAATTATTTATCTGTTTTTCAAGAAGTTTGGGCATCAACTTTCATAATAATAATGGTAAAATCATTGTAATGAAGAAATATATTGAGTATTATATTCAGTCCCAAACTTTAAAAACAAACTTTCGACCATACTCATAAAATACTTTAGGTCATATTTGTATTATGCCATTTTCTAGCTACTTATTTATTAAATACTTAGGTTATTCTCTTATTTTTTCATTCCTCATTTAATTATTTTTAAAAAAAAATTGTGTGCCATATAAAAAATGCAATTGATTTGTGATAAAAAAAACTTCATTTCATAATTTATGAATTTTAAAGATCAATGTTCATTTGGGTACATCTAGTTTAACTAATCAACTTATAACAGTTACAATAATTTTTAAGATTTCCAATTTGTGTTAAAATGTGTTCCAGATGAATAAAATGCAATCTATGAAAAAAAATCCTATGGAACATAGATGGTGAATGCACATAGTTTTACACTATAAATTCACTAATGATTAGGATTTGCACAAACACTGGCGCCATTTACCAATCATTTAATGATTTACTAAATACTTTAACCTAAAAAATTTTCAATTCAATATTTTTTTTGTCCAATTTTCAATGATTGTTTTTTTCTAAAGTATGAATATGGCGTATATGACAAAAGACGATTTATTGGACGATACAAAAACAAATTCTGTCCATTTCAGTTCTACTAATGAATCAGTTATGTCGCCAACATCATTATTTCCAAGTAAAGTGAATATGTTCACTTTAATAACAGACACGCGAACTTTATTAATACAAACAATAACAGAGGATGGTTCAGATATTCATGATTGGTTGTATGCATTGAATCCATTGAAAGCAGGTGAAATTCGGTAAGAGAATAATTAAATTGATTGTTTTTTTCGTGTTTTGAAAAATGAGGTAAACGACAAATCTTTATAGTCTAATTATAACAGCTGGCAACTCATTTATCAAAATGTAAGCTGTAACAAATTATTGAATTCATCATTCAATTTCTTTTCTACACATTTAAGTTGTCTCTTTTTCAATTATTGCAGATTTATCGGACATAAAAAAAATAAAAGGATTAAAAAACAATTACGGTGTAATAATTGACATATTCAGAAGTGATTGTGACACAAGACAAAATTGTTGTATAATTTAATATTCTAGGTGTACTCATTTACACTATCACTGTCCTCATGAGATTGAATGAAACTACTCTAATTGGAGTAATTATTATAATTTTTTGAGAATAAATAGACTGGTTTAATTCTTCCCAATGCCTATGTCCAGTTTTGAATAAGTTCATGAAGCATCCAACATGTTTGTGGATTATGATTAAAAGTGATATAGCGAAAATAAGCTTAAACCTATTTCTGGACTTATCAGCGATTGTGTCTATAACAAGATGTTGAGATTTGAACCTTAAGGAATTAGTTACTGTGTAGCTGAGTACCTTAGCCTTTCACTTGTCCAAAGCGAAATTGCAGAGAGAGATCAGATTATACCATCGTTAATTCTCATTGTAAACAGTTTTCTTTAGCTGACGAGTTTCAAAAATAACAAATTACGCGTCTGAAATTCTGTCTTCTATGTATAAAACATGTTGTCTGGTTTTAAATTTGTCACGACTGTATGGGTTGCAAATGAATGATTACATTACTGAAATAAAGTAATTTTATTAAATACGCTCATTTTGCTTTCTGCCAACTAAAAATTATTTTCCTTAATTTATGTCTTAAATAACAATGCCAGAATGACCAGTTTTTCCCATATGTGCTTAAATAATAAAGTTCTTTACAATCTTGTACAAGAATTTTTACATGTAATTGATACATTGAAATGTTGTCAGTTTTGTTTACGCCGCTCATTGAGAAACATTATATGTTCATAGGATCGGAACCGTCATTCGACTGGATTTTTTGCGAATGAGTACACGTCGAAATAATTGAAGCATTTTCACATTCCATTCAGTTAGATTCCCAATAATTCTCACCTTCATATAATCGTAACATTGATAATCCCACCAAATAAGTCAGAAAGTTAAGCACACAAATTTTACGTGCTACTCTCAAATGGTGTATTTCATGAAAGTAACATCCAAATTATTGAACATTAGGCTTCTAACATGAGTTACGTTGAAACAAACCGATCAAACTGATTTGATTTTCAACAAATTTCAAAACATTCACAAAAATGATCATTGACTGGATGTTTTGTAAATATTTTCTTACGATCGATGTTATCATTCATTTTCTTTGTTTTAAAGATAAACATTCATTAATTTCATCAACAGGAATTACTTATTCAGATAAATAGATATTTTCTGTATTAACAGTTTACATAATTAATTAATTATTTCTTTGTTATTGATATACTAATCTATCTTGAGCATAACATTCAATTTAGTTGATGACTATTTGTATACATAAATTCTAAATAATATTTTAATCATTTATGAAGATAAAAGACCTGTCAATATGAATTGTTTTTAAGTGAAGAGAATGTAAAACTAGTCATGTAATTATTCCTAGGCACAGTTTGATTTATCCCATTGATAAGATAAACGATACGGCGTTACAGTCCCAGTCTAAAATGCACTAGAATGAAGGTATATCTAGCTGAAAAATCACAAACAGAATTGAACACGATCCCTAAACTACAAACAATTCATTCTATGTAAAAGTTGTCACCAATTAAATAGTTCATAAATGCTTAAAATGATAAAACAGAGTGCTTACAAACAAGAAAATTCTAACTTTTTATCACTTGTTTTAATCTGGTGATCACTGATTTCAGGACTCAATGTAAATATCTACAGCTTGCTAGTGCAACAAGAATCACACTGTCATACATTTCATATCTATCTCCTTACAAACAAATTACTGCTTCTTATGTTTTAACACGTTGTTAGTAACTATTAATTGTATAACCAGATGCGTTTGTAAAGTGTTTAGGAGCTGTCGCTTCACAAAATTCGAAATAGGACAATCCAAGACATTGCGATCGTTAACAGTATGCTGAGAAAAGAATGAACTGTTTACGTCCGACAGTCAATCATTAATTGTTTTATAGAGGAAACTTGTTGACGTATTCCATGCTGAGAATTCCATATTGTACTAAGCAAACAATGCAGAGTGAAGCCATTATTTTTATCAATAAAGTTTTCTTTAAAATGAATAGATATTTAAATGGTTCTCTGAAATTACACTTAATGTTTTAACCCTCAATAAACGAAAGTACATAAAGAGCAGTGAATTTTTCACATTTCACTTTCATCAATCAAACTACCAACCAAATGATTAATTAAAGTGAATTTATTTTGTAGATACGTTTATTTTGGTCTTTTCAACTATGCAGAAACAACCACAGTAGTCTTTAGTCACTTGGTTTGCTCCTGTCTCAAATCTGTTTTGTTTTCACTCATTATGATTCATGAATAATTAGAAAATAACTCATAATAATAATTAAAATATGAATATTGAAGCTCCTTTTTTCATGTTTTATTTTTACAGTTCACGTTTAGGAAGAAAACGAAGAGCAAGAAATCCGATAAAGTGAAACATTATGGGGAATAAAAAGAAGCAATCACTGTTTTATATACATATATATACATACCTATACTTGAATAATAAAACTGATGAGATAAATCACGAAAAAAAACAATAGGATAAAAGATTTAAACAATACAATAATATTTTATTATTTTAACTAATCAATTGAACAAGTTACAAAATATTTATATCTATGCTGTTATTTGAATTAACCTCGCGTGAGTACGCTAATTTATTAAGCTCCAGGTAAATAAAATATCCTAAGTAATAATTATGATACTTTGTGAAAGAAATTTTCATATAAATAATCATCCTACTTAAGGATTGTTGTTTGCTGTTTAATAAAAGTTTTTTTAATTTACTCATTAAGTGGAAAGGTTTTAGAAAGTAGGAGCATGCAGAGAACAATTTGTTAAGCTTTATTGAATGATATATGTATTGTCTCCTCTGTAGTATCAGACAATAATGAATAATATCATACAAATGGCGTCAGTTTATGGAACTGACGACCTTTACGAATCGTAAGTGCTTGAGTTTCATTCATCAAAATGACTAGACATGCATTGAACTATTACATTTCATGATGATAGTGTTCCTCTATGTTTTAAGTTAGTCAATCGTTTAAATGTTAATAATGTATTAGTATAAATAAAAGTGGGACAAAAACAGAAACTAAATAGAAATCGTTAAACTTCTATTTTATGAAAAGGTTTATATTTCTAAGCCTATGATGTATCAAATTTTATGTAATTTTAATATTAATTTCAAAAAATCAAGCCTACTGATCATAGTTGAATATTAGTTGCTTTATCACTTAACAAAAGAGAAGAATATTTTTATCATCAATATATTACATTAAATGTTTACAGATAGATGTTTCCAGTTAGAATGTTTTTTATTTAATCAAATGTCTCCAAAGCATTGGAACAACAGATACAAGCGAAAAATATTTTTCGATTAGGTCGTCATCAGGCTTTATTCGAAAACAATATTGTTCGCTTATATGTGTTGTTCAAATTTTTCGCTATGGGAATATTTAATATTCCAAAGCATTACTCGTGTATCATGGGACAACCGAGTAAGCAATGCTCTCGTTAGGAAATGGGTACTAGGTAAGGATGGCAGGTCAATAAATGAAGTATTAAAACTTTATTAGTTGAGGTGGTTGGGACATGTGTTGCGAATGCTTAACCACCGGATACCTCGTCGAGCTATATTTTGTTGTGTAGGATTAGGTTGGAAGATCGCCGAGAGCGGCCAGACCAAAACATGGCACAAATCCATCAAGTCACTGAGAAGTGGACTCAGTCATGTCGGTAAGTGTCGACTACTTGATTGGAGCCTGCGAGATGACAGTAATCGATGGTTAGAGACGCTGAATGACATGGCTCAAAACCGTTTGCAATAGCGCAGATGCTTTCATTCTCTGTGTTCTCTCAAATCCTAATCTTCTCATTTCACTTAGATTCTACTTCTTGATTACTATCTGCAAACCCTAATCTTTCCAATTATTGTTCATACTTTTTCGACCTTTACTACTATGAGATTTGAATTGAAAATTATATCTCTGTACTAATGTGGTATGGCAACATGAACTGATGTACGTACGTACGTACGTACGAAGTTCTACGTTGCTATTGATTGATTGATTGATATATAAATTTACAAATAATTGTGACTGTAATCCAAAATTTCATTTGAATTTTACAGATTTCGTCAGAAAATGCTTTTTGATCAACTTCATTCAAAATATATATTTTATTATTTATAATATTTATGTGATCAATCAAAACGCCAGTAAATGGCACTGCGAAAGAATTCTGTCTCATAACCAACCTTCAGTCCCTACTGTTTATTTGTATTTTTTTCGCGAAATTTCATTATTTTTATTTTCCATGAATTTTAATGCTTTACTTTGATTTCCCAGTCTATTTATCTCTCAAAGTATATTGAATAGAACATTGAATTAGTCATATGAAGAAGTTCGCTGTTGACAATTTCAATTTATTTGAAATCATGATCAAGTATACATGTATTTACAATTGTATTTGTATTATGAAATAAATATGTAACTCATGTGAATATCAATGTTTGCATTTTTGTTTTTGCTAAGTATAACATTTATCAAAGCGTTGTGAGCATAAAATCTGTTCAATTTTTGTTTCGTTTCGCTTTACAGCTACTGTTTAACATGCAATCATGACATGAATTACCGTGTGTAACCTATAAATTCTTATTGAATTTTTGTTTTAACTTATCTTACCAATGTTTATTAATTGAAAATTTAATTTTGAAAACATGACAACAAAATTATCCGTCCAATTACAAATGGTTTTATTTAAACAAGAACTGTTTACTAATTTTATGTCAACCTATTTTCTTGTATTCATTGTATTATCAATATATGAAAGTTTTTAGAAACTCGTTATATGTTTTCACTCTTTTTATCTCACCTTTTTAATTAGATAGCATAAAGAAATCTAGTAAACTAGATTACTCTAAATTAACTAATTTTCATCTTAAGCAAATGCCATATAAAACTATTTAATATTCATCTCTATCAATCATATACCTAGTAGTTTACTAAATCTGACAGATGTAGTCTATTTGAATACGTTAGAGTAGGCAGTTAAAAAAAGGAAGCATAGTTTTTTCTAAACTCTCATAATGTTTTAAAAGTTGCGACATGTCTATAAATTTGAAGAAACGAATACGTTAAAAGATGTCATAAATTGCTACGTATAATAGGCTAATTAAAGATACTATAGTTCAAGATAACCATTTATAACTTCAATGGGAAACGATAGGTACTAATTTAGTTAGACCTGTTTCTCGTCATGAAGCATAAACGCTGACCAGAAGTCTCAAAACAATATCGTACTAGGCTCTCCTTTCAGTTTGTTCATAAGTGCTATTTATTCTTTTGATATCTGCTCCAGATTCTTGACGTTGGGTGCTCTGTGGTCTTCATCTTTTCCATTTGCTTTGAGGATTTTAAGTTGAAGCTTGCACTGTGACCTACTCACCTCCAGTTTTTTTGCCCCATAATTCCCTCAGATAGAGGCTGGTCTGTCCTCTCCTACAGTAGGTTATTATTGACTATTCTGGGTTGGCGGATCTGGAGCTTTTTAGACAACTGTTTATAAATCCCTCCACTGACACTTAACATGAATAATTGTGAAGCTGTATTTTCAGTCAAAATAACAGCGACAGCTTATTAGTCTACAAGGAAAAAAGTGCTTTACTCACTTTTGTATTAGTTGCCTATAAACATACAATATTTATTTGGAAATAAAAAATCATTTAAATAGAATGTGATTATTTTTACAGATAATTTTTTTTTTCATGATGATGTTTTTTAAAAATCACAACGGAAAATAATGGAATATTTGAAATTGCTAAAATAGTAATGAACTTTAATTTATCATGATGACCATCATGTAATTTTGAAGTCATCAAATTAATTTTAAGTAATGTTTATTTAAAAAAGAACTTATTTGAGTAATGGTGAATAATTTTCAAGTTAACATAAAATACTATTTATCATTTTTTTTCAGGATTCTTCAGGATTCAACTATTTTGATTTAGAATTAATATGTATTTGGTTTGTTAGCCTACCATTTAGATAATTTTATAAATATTTATCACGTAAATTATTCTGAGAAATTCGATAACAAGAACACTTCTTCGTTATATTTCCAACTTTTTCATATTACTAAACGCCTGTTATTGTTGTGATTTAGTTCCTGAAGTTCACTAACTAATAATTTTACTCATGTTCATTACCTGGAATCAACAGACATTTTATTTAGTCAAATGTATAACGCTAAAAATTTAGAGCTCAATACTCTAATTACTCTAAGTGACTATCACTATATCTTCAGTGCAACAATGAGTGAAAAAGCAGTCTGCTTTGATTTTCAAAGAACATAAGGATAATTGAGGGCACCAATAATTATTGTTTTCACATAAAATATGGTTTAAAGCCTGTCTACACAAGGGTGACCCAACCTTGAAGTGCTTGCAGAGCAAGTCTGTAGGGATACATTCATAAATATGACCTCCGTCAATTCAGAAGTTAAACACTTTTCCCTGAGGAATTTATGGTTTATGTTAAGTACTGTACAGCAAAATACCATATTCAGTATTTCAAATAACTGATTGTAAAGATATTTCATTACATAATATATCAATTACTTGCTGACTGGAATAATCCAGATTTGAATATCACATCATTGAAAAGTTGATTAATTATACTGATTTAAAAAAGTCTTATCTTGCTAAACTTTTGTTGAATATTGGGTAAATGAAAGAAGAAATATAATATGCTCTTTATATTTTACGAGTTTAATATACCTCAATAAATATCCTTCATTTTGCATTAGTTAATTAACCAAACTGTTAAGATTACAGATTAAATAACTTTGCATTTTTAAACTTAAGTATTAAAGGTCAGACGACGTTTAGTAGGTTTAACTTCACTCATCTGTATAAAGCTTTTGATTGTTGGTCAAGTATTTTGTCTAATCGTTGCTAAATAAAAATTTTTATTTCATTTTTATTCATTTCAGAAAAATAACTAAATTTCAATAGGATAAAGTTCAAAATGCACTACAAAAGTTTTAATTTTTGTTTTTATGTTAAAAGTGCAACTTGTCCAGTCTTACAAGTGAAGTTTCAACTTGTGTATCATTAATTTAATTCATTCCAAATAGGTTAATCAGATTTTAACTACAAAACTATTTCAAATTCAATAATGTGACTAGATTTAAGGTAGTTTATTTGTTGTTATATTATTGAAACATCAGCAATATATTAGTTGATTTACATAATTAGAACAACACATATAAGCAAACGATAGTTTTGTTTTTGATTAGATCATCATCAAGCTTTACTCTCTAATATACATGAATATTTATGTGTGAAAATATTAAACCAATCAAAGCAATTTATGAGTCAATAATCACAATGAAATGAAATAGATTACGTCACTACACATAATAGGTAAAAGTACAAGTTGATTGTAGGAAGGCAGGTGTAATGATATTAGTAAGAAAAATAAAATACGACAACAAAAGTTTTATCAATAGTAGTAGGTCAAACGTGGATAAATAAACTTAAAATATTCATTACAAAACATTTAACCATTACGTAATAAGAAGTGCGTACATAGTTAGATGATGAAGAATATAAACGGAAACAGGCAGAAAATTACCAGCAGCTACAGGATGTGAAAATAACGCTAATAATAACAAAATAAAATTTTAGAAAATTTTAAACGTTAGTTAGGTCATATCTGGCCACGGAAGAGATAGGGTTGTCACGAAATTCTCCCAAAAGCTCCTATGGGAAATGATGAAGGTATACGATAGATCACCCAAAAAGATCTAGACCTAGCTACAAATGATGATTTAATAGAAAACAATATTGTCTGCTTGCTTATTTGTGTTGTTCTGATTTACATAATCTAAACGTATTAATTTTTTTCGTAGTACTAAAAACCTAGTTCCTTTGTCATTTTACTAAATAATAAAATAATATACAGAATCTAAATCTAGGTTATCAACAATTATTTAAAACAAATAATCAACAAACTTGGGAAAGAGAGAGAGGATAGTGATTTCTTTTATTAACAGTCATGCTGATTTCCAGTCATCTTACAATCTCTAAAGGGTTATTCAGACGACACAGCATTCACTTAAAATGAGTTGCTTTTCAATACAATATGTCTGGGTACTTGAAAATCACTATTTAAATTTACCGAAGTTTGAGGCGGTTCAAGTTATTTATTCTTTGAACGTATCAAGTGTCTGAGATTTATTGTAAAAATTTTTAATACTAGTTCACCTGTGAATAAGTCATTTATACAATATTTTGCAAACGTATTTCAGTATAGTTTAATGACGTCAGTGATGTCGAATTTTTTCTTCTAACTTAAAGTGATAATATCCACTACATAAATTTATCCATTGACTGACAGGAAATAACTGAATACAAACAACCCGAAATAACTGTATTTTGTTTCACTAAGCCTATATATCAGTAATCTTTCCTAAACACTATCATTTTTTGCAGTTGCGTAATACAGTCTACTGATGACGTGATAACAACAAACACATAGCAATAGTGACAGGAGAATGTGTGTCAACAGATTTAAATACACAAATAATATTTTCATTTCAAAGTTGTAACTTTCAATGTTTGTATAACAGAAATAATCGATTGTTATCTTAACATTTCTGAAAAAAAAATATATCAGACCATTTTGTTTTGATTGTCTGATTAATGAAGTGCAAACTAGTTTTTATAGTTCTCAGTAAACTGAGCATTTTTTTGTAGTGATGTAAATTTGGAATGATGGTAGTTGTACTTTATTATTAAAGTCTTCTAATTTTTAAAATTAAATCCAACTGCCATACTGTTGGAGACGTTAGATCCCTAGAACTCACTTGATAAAGGTCCTAATTTTGGGTTTCGAGTTTTTGAGATTAAATTTCCTACATCGAAATCTCCTTAACTACTATTGGTTGATGCATTATTTTAGTACGCTGTTTTTGTGGCCATCCCAAGAGAGTTCCTATCATGTATAAATAAACGCGATTTGAGTGCCTGTCAACCTCATATTTTCTGGGCGACTTCTTCTACTATTAGTGAGGCCTTAGGATGCTCAGATTAGAGTAGCCGACAGTGTCACTGCATCATTTGTCCTCGCTCTCGTTTACCAACTAAGATGAACCCGTCATAGTTCAAACATATCAATTGACGAGCATAACACATACAAAAATCATCTTTTAATAACCCCTATAGAACTGGCATATCGACAAATCAAACAATAATATCTGAAAATGATATTTTTAGTAACTTCCAAATTGATACAAACAATATCAACTATGAAGAAATGCAAGCAGTTGATGCATTTTCACCCTCAGTACAAAAGAAGCTCTCATTATCCATTCAAACTTGGCTGTTTCTATAAACGGCTACATTTGACTTTATGCATAGATGCCTAAACCGAGTTCAAATTTATTAGTTTGAAATAATTCCAAGCATTGGTTAACTAGTGTTCATTATTCCTAGATATTTGTTTATTGCAATTAATGAAAAAACAAAACAAAGTTATTTTATACTGACATTTTCTCACTGAACATGAATAGCACTACAATAATAATAATAATAATAATAATAATAACGAATTAAAATTTCCAAAAAAATTTAGCTTATATGCGGTAATTTGATCAAAAAGATTCCATATGAAATAATTCTATGTGAGTTGGTGCATGAATCAATGAAAATAACAGATAGTGAGTAGCAAATACAGAATATGAATATGTGATCAAAATATTTCCTATCATATGCACTTTTAAAAACTTGGCCTGCGAAGGATGATGCTGG